ACTGTGTTTGGGTAATTTAGGCTAGGTTCACATGGACGCGCGTACACGCGCGTTAGTCGGCCGCGCGTGTTTAGACATACGAGTTTCTCATACATCGTTCACTTGGCGCGCGTATGCCAGTGTTGAGCATTATCTAGATAAATTATCTAAATAAATTATCTAGATAAATAATTAATTATCTTTTATCTTATCTAGATAATAAAAAAATTAGTTATCTTATGAATTATCTTAGATGAATTCTTGAGTTATCTAATGTAATTTATCTAGATAATTAAATAAATTTATTCGAAAAATAGAACTTGGAAGTTAAAAACTTAAAACCCATGTATATACAATTAATTAACCATTCTTGTACAAATATATATATATATTATAAATACGGGCTACGGCCGAATAGATTGCAACGTTGTGAGTTGTGACATTGTGTAGACCATACTCTACAGACCATAATTATTATTATGGATAATATTAAAATGCGCATAATACACACACTACCTATACAAACAGGCACAATTAAGTATATATTATATAACAATGACATTTTGATTAGCTCACATATAAGTTATAACTAATGTGAATGTCATGTATATTATATTCTTTTGTGTTCAATTCGAAATTTCTTAATATAGGTAATATAAATGAATGCGGATTTCCCGAAGTGGTATTTTAATATAACGATATATAGTTATATTAATAAATCCATATTGATTAAGACTATTATAGTTAAGTACCTACTACCTAGGAATATATTTTGTTTCTATGAGTATGCTGTGTGTATAAATTCAATATAGTATATACCTATATTAGTGCACACTGCACACTGTTTATTATTAAATACGTATATCATATACTATAGTTTTGAAATTGTTGATAAATATAAAAATAATATCCATTCTACGAAAACAAATATATATATATAATAAACAAATATATTTCTACAAAACATATCTATATTCTTAATAATATCAAATGGTCACAGTACCCATGATAGACGACTAGACGAGTGACGACAGTGTATCAGTCATCAGAGTATGCCGATTGCCGAGCGTGGTGTGTGACGAAGCTGGTTAACATTCATTTTTGTTTAGAATTGTGTTTACTGTTTAGTTTCCTAATATTTGATTTGATTTATAATTTTAACATAATGGACAAATTCATTAATCGAAGCACAAAAAAACAAAACAATGTGAGTGAAGACGATCCTGCAGTACACAGTTCGGAAACAATAGAAAAATCAAAATGTTACATATTTAATGGCAAGTTTTTTAAAATAATAAATGTAGAAGACAATGATAAAAATAAAATATTCGCACAGTGCCAAAATTGTCCTAAAATCGTGCATGGTCATAAAGGATCAACTGGAAATTTTTTAAGTCACATTAAGGTAGGTACCTATTTAAATAATAATAATTAATTATCATCGGGGCCTAAAATATATACAATTTCAAGGTACATAGTTATAATACACTTTTAATTCAATTAATATTGTTTACAGATTTCGATAGGTCGGTACTTATAAGTTAAAACACCTGTGTTAGGCTCTGTCTCGGGCTCTGTTAATAATTATTTTCCCCGAATGACTTGAAAGTTTTGATTTTTTTAACCAAGGTTAACTAATATATATATATACCTACTGCCTTCCTAAAGAGAAAGACAGTATCTCCAAAAACTAAAATATTGGGAAAATGAGTTTTTAGATTTCTTAATTTTACCTTAAAATAATCAGATTTCATTACTTTTTTTCACATTATACGTGAAATCAGCACAATGTGTATTATTATTATTATTTTTTTTTGTACTTGATTGATTATTTTGACCTTTTTATTGACTTTTTGGGAGCATTTTACTTTAGTATGACAATTCCTACATAACTAAACAGTTAAATTTTTCAAATGCAGTATATCTGTTACCCTATTTTTAATTTTGTTGTTAATACATTGAATGTTTATGACTTATTAATATATTTAGTATAATGTATAGTATTATTTGTGCATTACATTTTTTTTCTATTGATAATGGATAATACTTGTATGTAATTACTCCATAATAATTAGTATATAAATTATAATGAATTGTTTTATAAAATTATAATATTCTTACCTACAAAGAATATATTTTTTTTAACTAAGTACTTATTATGTATTACTTATTTCCCATTCATAAATGTACATAATATAAATATTTGTTGTTCATTGTTTATATTGGAGGTATCTATTAGATCAAAAATAAGTTCATTTTTATTTAATTAAATTTTTTAAATATTAATTTATAAAAAAAAGTGTAGATTTATTATGTAATAAAGTTTAAAAATAATTTATCTTTTTTTTTTATACAGATAAATCTTGTTTTATCTTTTATCTTTATCTAGATAATTTAGATTTTAATTATCTTTTATCTTTATCTAGATAAATGTTGTCCAATTATCTTTTATCTTTATCGAGATAAATTTTTAGTTATCTTTGCGCAACACTGGCGTATGCGCACGTATAGCGCGTCGATCGCGATAACGACGCAAGAATCTATTTCCGCGCGAACACGCGCGTGATTCCGCGGATTGAAATTCTATATATCATTATCGTCTCTAGCTCCAAATTAACACAAAATCTGTAATTATTTGTGTTTAAGATTATTTTTATTGTTGAAAAACCAATAATCTAAAAAATGTTTTGAAGATAGTTTATGATTATTGTTAATTATAATTACTGTTCTTAATATTCAGGTACATCTTGCGGAACCCTCAAGATTGTCCCACGGAACCCTTAAGTTCCGCGAAACACGCTTTAAAAATTGCTGGTATAGACGATTAACTTTAAAACTGTATGATTAAATTTCTGAAATATTATCTATTATAGATAAGAAAGGAATAACTAATGTCAAAATGAGACTGAAAATGGATTGATAAAATATAGCATCCCAGGATATTAAAAATAAATAATAAAAAAAATTGCTAAAATCGAACCGGCATGCAATTCGGATATACACCTCTGAGACGTGGCATGCAATTCGGACAGAACCCTCTATGACCTGGCATGTAATTCGGACACTTTTTTTTTGGCATGCAATTTGAATGCAGCCGATACGTACCCAGTGGTGTACATACGGGGAGGGGGGTCCAGATTCAAACACCCCCAAGGCCAAAAAGAAAAAAGAAAATTGTTTTATTATTGATGACGTGTAATATATTCGTAGTTTCATTATTACGCTTTGAACTTAAAATATACAACTATACAAATATTATGATAATTAAATAATTATATTGATAGGTGTTTGAAAAGTTTTGTTAACTATGCTGTTTTTATATTCCTAATAGTTACTAATTTACTGTAATGTAAAAGTAAACTGTAAATTGGTAAACAAGTTGTATAAATTAATATCTATGTATTTATAGCAGTTATTTATCTTATTTATCTGTGCAACGAAAAAAGAAAGATAACGATTATTTTTGTTAACCCCCCCCCCAGAGCTAGATTGAATGTACGCCACTGTATGTACCTAATACCTATTCTAAGTAAATAGGTACATGTGTATAAGTGCAAATAACAATTAATACATCTATTAATAATATAATTAAAAAATTACATTGTAGTTATAATATTATACATAATTAAATAATTAGCATACTTGAGAATATTTTAAGAAAATTAAATATATCTTGGATTTAAGAATTTTTTGAACAAATTTTACCAGTTTTTAAGGGAATATTTAGAGCATATTTTGAGATTTTTTTTCGTGCGTATATTATACTTTAAGAAAACTACGAATCCGCCTTTTAATTATAACTTAAAAACTTACCATTGGTTCTATATAATAATGAAGAAATAAAAAAATTAAATTAATCGTTTATTTTTAATAAAGAACACGCTCCGATCATTTTTACGTTTTGCTAAACCTTAAATATTAACGGGTTTTTTTTATCATTTTTAATATTAAATATTTAATAACAAAATTTGGCCCATCCAATCATAATGAAACATTGAATAAAAATAAATATTTGATTAAAAAAAATTTTTGTCCGTCAAACAATACTATTTCAAAATAGTTGATAAAATAAAAAACCTACCGATAATTAGACTAAAAATGGTAAAATATACCAATAAATGGTGTATTTTTATATTGAACCACTACTCAGAATCATTTTGATAAAAAAATTACTTATTATTTCTTTAAAATTCAGTATATCTATTACTAGACTTGCCATTCGTCCTGGTGTTACCTAATGGCAATGGTGTTATCCGGTCGGTAATTCAGTTAGTCCCGGTTAATAGAAGCTGAGAGAAAATAACATTTAACAGTAGCGTAAATTGAGTCCAATTTCTGGTGGCGCAGAGGCATATTCTCAACTTATGATTTCTAACATACCAATTTTCCAACTTAATTAGTAAAATCCTTCCCAATAAACTAATATTTCTTTAAACAATAAATACATTTTGAATTATTTTAATGGTAAAACCTTTATTATTATAAAATTAATAAAAAAGAACAATCAAAATTTATACATAGAAATATAAAACAATATTGTACATTATATCATTATATTATGGTAATCTAATCGGTATGGTTATATACAATAATAATGTATATTTGTATTAGTTAATAAATATTTAAATTACAAAATTATTTACTGATTTTTGTTTTTCATATCAAAATAAAAAAAAAAGGATCATTCAATATGTTGTCCTAGTTTAGGTATTTCAAAATCTAGCAACTCTACCAATCACTATTATCCAGATCGAGGACCGAAGATATAAAGGACGAACTTCCACCACCATTATTTAAATTATAAATTTATAAATTATACAATAAATCCTCTGTTTTTCTATACAAAACGAATAATGAGTATTTTAATGTCAATTAACATGAAAAAATTTAGAGGTGCTAATTTCGAAAATGGGGTTATAAGCACATCCAAGTCCCCCCTCAATTTCGCCTGTGCGCGTTCATGATGTACGCTTGTACAGTTGTACTTTTTCATGTGAATAATGAAGAACTAATTTGTAGTAATTAGTAGTAATAAGATCAATGCAATATCGTGAAATAATGTACTAATAAATGTATATAGTAAGACCGATCGTACACCATCACTCCATCACGCAGTATTAGTCAGCCAAATCACAACAATACAACGCAATCTCGCCAAGGCCAGTACATAGAAAAATTACATTACATAATGCACACTGATAAGACGTAGTCAAAACATTTTCACATAAACTACAATTAGTCTTGTTTGATGCCGTTAAAAGTGTCTCCATTTTCATTAGTCAATAAAATCAATAAAACAAGAATAAATAAAAAAATATATTATTATTATTTAAATAATTGTATTTATACTTTTAAATTATTTATATTTATTAAATTTCATTAGTTTTAAAAAACAATGGCTTGTGATAGTAATGTATTGATAAGTTTAGTGAAACAAAGACCATCAATATTTGACGTCATTCACAAAGATCATAGTAACAGAATTGTTCAAAATAAATTATGGGAAGAAATTAGTTTGGAAATGAATGTTAACGGTAAATATGTCAAATTATTATATAATTTATTCTACATTCTATACAATATAATATATTAAATATAAATATAATATGGAACTAAAAGAACATTTTTTTCTTTAATTACATGGACAATTTATGACACCTATACATTTGTCACGGTAATTTAAGCGCGGTAAATCGATACGCGTCGACTGGGCGTGATGAAAATTGTTATGGTAATTAAATTATATAATAAAAAATATAAATATAATAATTCTGTATATATTATGACATAGTATTATATAAATATGATAACCAATTTAAGTTTGGTATAAGTATACATTTTAATAATATAATAAAAAGTATTCATCACATTCCATCTTTAATATAAATATTAAAAATTGTTGTAATAATAATATAAAATAATCTAAATCTATAATTGAAAATGCATAGCTCTGATAGCCTATTCCCAGTGTAAGAATTGAATGTTGAATGTAAACGCACGTTCACTTGTGTTTCATATTCATATTTTGTGAACAACATATGAACATTACTCGATTTTTTTCAAATAGAACGTGAACGTGAACGTCGTTTATATTTATTATTTTCACAAAATTCAAAGTAACGCAAAATTTCAGAGTTTTTTAATTACATAGTTAACATCTATAGTAATATCTTCGCTTGGATCTTATGAGCCTATGGTAATATGAGAAAAAGCTTATCATATTATAATTTAAAAGATTTTTGGGGTGTCAACATTTATTTATCATTTTAAAAAAAATATATATAATATATATATATAAATAATAAATATTAATTATAATATGTTTAAGTATAGGTTTTAAAAATAAATTAAAATATACCTTATATGTTTTGTAAAAGTTTCATATATATAGAATATAAGTTGGTGATTCATTACATATTAATAAATTACTCGACAACAATGCACGATGCTCTTCCAATCAATCCATGATAAATACTTAAAATGTCATCGATAAGGCTTTTTGTCGATGTAAACATCACTAATGTACCTCCATCCAAACCTAAACTAAAATCTAATCAAACTAGGGAGTTCTTCCTGTTGCACTCTGTATAAAATAAAAAAATGTAAATTAATGGCCAAATGAACTCGTTCGTTTTTTTCATAGAACTTGAACATAAACGTGTTTACTTTAAAAAAAATTAACATGGACCTCAATGAGATCCTTTTTATATTAATTGAACGTAAATTTGAATAAGTTTAATTTTAAAGTGAACGTTTTAAACACTACTTTTTTCATAAGCTTTTTCCTTAGCCCCTAAATATTTTCCTAGTCCTCTCAAACTAAAAATAATGAATTTCAGAATTTTGTGTTTGAGATTCAGATAGAATCTAAGCATTTATGTCTATAATCTCAGTATACGAAATAATTATTAATAATTATTAATTTTGACAATTCTTGTTATTCAATGGATCTTACTTTACTTAAGAATATCGAAAATCGAAATATATATCACAAAAGCGTACTTTTTCATATTATTACTAAAATTTTAACTGACTCTATCTTAGTGAGTAATGAACATTTTGTCTATACATAAATTGTTAGATGGGGATAGGGGGCATAGTCCTTGTGTTATCTTGGTACTTATAGCCCCTCAAAATGTTAGCTCTAACTGTGCCTATGTAGCTTCCCACTCAAATAATTTTGAAGATTAGTTAAATTTGAATCAGAATTTGTGATTCATATTTACATTCTTCGAAATAACCACACTCAAATTACAACCACTATTTTAAGAGGAAATCACATAAGTTATAAAAAATATTATATTATGTACATGCATTTTTGAAACGCATAAATTCAAAACTATAGTTACATATTATTTTATACATTATAAACATTTTGACAAGAAATTGATCCGATTCTTGAATTAAAACATTTCATAGGTACGTTTTTCACGAATATCAATTGCATCTCTCGTTGGTCTGTGGTTTTAAGGTCTTCTCATTTCTTCTTGGTATGATTGTGAATAACTTATTATTTTTATTTTATTTTGAATATCAGTTTTTTTTCTTCAATTAAACTATAAAGTACATTTGAAGCCTATACAATAATTGTAACTTTATCACGATGAACTAATATTTTATTTTGAAATACATTAAATAAAGTTTTGTGAGTATGCCAAAAGCACATTTTATGAATCTTACACATAATAAATTCGCTTCAAATCGGTAAGCTGTCTTCATGCAAATGGTTTTATTATTATTTTTTTTTTTACTGGATACTCTTCGTCGACAACAAATTCAATTGGAAAATTCACTAAATCCTTATTTATTTTTCTTCGCTGGGGTAATAGCGATTTATTATAATTTAGCAATTTTTCAAAATGTGATTCCTTTAAAACACTTCCATCACTATTACGTTCAAAATCATTAACCTCAATAAATATAAATTTGGCGTTACTGATTGTAAAACTATAGAATGGCCTTTATAATTAAAATATCCGAATCCTGAATATATGTTTTCGGTTATATGATTTCCATCAATGGTACATTAACAGTTTGGAAAATTCCAATATTTTTCAAACCCAATCATAATATTTAGTCAATTTTCATTAGTTAGCCAAGACATGAATTGTAGTGATAGAAACGTCTATATTGAATAACACGTTTCACTGACAATTTTACTTGTTGTAGTAGCTCTTACTCGAAGATATAATATAAGCGTTAAAACGTTTTCAAGAAACTAAACAATTAAAAAGAAAATTGTAATTGTTCTAGTGTCAATATGTAAAAGCAAGTGGACAAATCTTCGAAACTCATTTGCGAGAGAACTTCGTGAGCATAAAAATACAAATTCTGGATCTGTTGGTTTAAAGAAAAAAAAATGGTATTTATTCGATAGAATGAATTTTCTGACAGATTTCATGTTACAACACAAAAAAATTGGTGGTAATATAAGTCATGCATATTTAAAAGAAACAAAAGAATGCATAGAATCAGAAGAAGAACAGGATGCTATGCAAGTAGAAGAATCTGCAATCACAGAAAGTGAACCAGACTCAAGACAACTGGTGTTTAAAAAGCCCAAGAAAAATATTATTACAGCTAGAAAGCTTTACAAAACTCCGAGTGAAAAAGTAGCTGAATCTAAGATTACATTTTTAAAGTTGAGAACGGATAAGGCAATATATACTGAAGATCCCTCCGAGTTATTATTTTTTAAGAGCTTATTACCTGATTATAAGAAACTCAACGAAAAAAATCAACGTCGATTTAAAAATGCTATGTTAACAACCTTAAATAACTATCTAGACAAACAAGAAGAAAATATCCAGATGATATAATTTCAAAATAACATTATTCTATACCTTGCAAGACAAGTTGACGGAAAGAATATCCATAATTTTTAATATGATTTTACTTCAGATGTATCTTCACTTTCACCAGGGAGTAGCAATTAATTCCGGTAATAATATGTATTATCTATAATATAAAATAATAGATATTTTTGTTTTAATATCATAGGATTACTAAATAACTTTAAAAAATTATATTTTATAATAATTTATGTTAACTGATTTATATTTATTATATTGAAATGATTTATACGAAAAAAATAGTTTTTTTAACGAAGTTTAATGTAAGTTTTTAAATGTTGTCTTAATGTAAGCAATCGTTTTTCTACAGGAGAAATTACTCGAGTTTTTAATTTCTTTTTCTATTAGTTGTAAAATAAAGTCAAAAGGATACTAAGTATATTAACTCGTGTGTATTATTTTTAAATATACTTTCATCTGCACATTATTCAAATAGTGAAGTAAATATTATATTATGAGTTATACATTTCTTATTTAATAGATCAAACTACATTTTTTTTTCTCTTTTTGTTTTAACTTTTATAGAGTGTGCCATATAGGTACAAATCGCAATCTTTTCGTTGGATGCTATTTTGATAAATAATTTGTTCATAGTTTGTTTTGTCTTGATTTGATTTGACTAACCGATTTACACAAATACATAACAAATTGTTTTTAGTTAACTAAATCAAAAATGATTAATGATGATTAACACGTCTTGTTATTTTGATATCAATGTTATATTCCGAAATAAACATCAGAGCTACGATCTGACAAAACACAATTTTTCACGGTGGCTCCTATAGTCGCATCACATCGCACTTGTGCCACCGAAAGCCGTTTTTGTTATCAACATTAAATATTAATAAATTATACTGCTTGAATTTCAAATAAAACAAAACAAGAAGTAGATAAAAATGAATTTTTCTTAAAAAAAGATGTTGTGCATCGAAAGTTGGTTTGATCACTGAGACCCAACGATTGAGTTATTATTATTATTATTATTATTATTATTATTACTATGGTATTAATTTGTTTCGATCCTTGTCTCTTGGACACCTGAATACGACACCTACAGGTGGCGGACGTATAGAGACTGAAACGAGAAATAATTGTAACTTTGTCAACTCTTCCAAATGTATTAAAATAATATAATTGTACATAGTTAAGAATCAATTTTGAGATATAAATTACTTAGAGAGAAGTTTGAAGTTATAAGACATAATAGGCACTTACATATCTTGAAATTATTTTTATTCAAATATTTTTACGTGGTAAATTTGTTTAAATATTATATAACAGGTCGAATGTAAAGTATACACTTCTACAGTTCTCTACACGTATCAGATATAGTGTGTCATGTCGTATAAAACTTAGGTACGTCTTATGACCATAAAGACGAAATATAGACTGATAGTGATCACAGGATCTTTTATGAGGTAAGACATTTTAGAGAAGATATGTTTTGAAATGTGTTCTGGGACTGCTTATACCACATTGTTAGTTTTTTGTTTTTTTATAGACTACGAAGCTGTAAAAATGCTATTGCAGACAATACTATACTCGTATAATATTAAAATTAATTATAAAAACGAGCACGAACAATTTTTTAGACAAAATTATTCTGATATAACGAACAATCGATTATATATAAAAAAAAACTTCATGATGATATCTTGATGAATAATATCTTTAATAGGTACTAGAAATAATGAAATTCGTGTGACTGCATAGATCCGTGTAGTAAATGTACCGCTAATATTCACAGAATTAAACAATTTCCCATATTAATAACTAATGTAGACATAAAATAAAATAAAAAAAAAGCTTGATTTTAAATTAAAAATATAATAAAATATTTCAAAACATTTTTATTGAGCTACATGAGTTAGTAATTTTTTCAAAGTTTTTTTTGATCATTACTAACAGAAAAAATATTTAAAGAAAAAAACATGATTGTACTATCAATAACTTGTATGAAAAATGTACAAAGAATTAAGAAAATTTTATTTGAAAGTTTCACTAGAACATTAGCTGAGTACAATGATTTATCTTAGCTTTCAAATGTATTTAAATAACAAGAAAGGTTTTTGCTGTGAACAAGTATTTAACCGAGGTTTTGTTTATACACTCGTCAAACCTAACGTTTTTGGTGTATATATTATGGACAAATTTTTTGACGAATATTTTCATTTAAATAAATCTAGAAGTTGTACTTATTTAAAACTAATAGCTGTTTTTACTATTTCGAAATGTTACCGTTCGAAGAAATGTTGTACAGAAAAAGAAATTATTAAATCTACATATTTTTGAATATTCCTATTATTCTTGGGCAACTATTGTAGTATTTTAGGTTTTTTAAGCAAAATTCAATACGTAAAATACAATTTACAGGGCGTGGAATGATGACCTTATGGCAGTTGGACTGTAAAAATTAATATATTAATATATTTCAATAATTTACACAAGTGCACTTGTATATAGGCATGCCTATATACGAGTACAAGAATATTGATTTAGATTAATAATCTATATTTCATACACACTCATTTATTTTATTTTAAATACAATACACACTCGTTTTCTATAGAAATCTGACGAGTACTTATTTAATTATTGAACAATATTAAAATATATCCACGAGTCCCTTTATGTTTATAATATCACTATAGATATTACACTAAATAATAAAACAAAATTTAGGTATTTGGAGACGGAGTTCCCTGCAGCCCAAGAAGTTCATTAAACCGTATTCAGGAGTGTGTATTTATTGCACAATAAAAATACTAGTATTAACATAAACGAGCAGTAGCACTGTTTGCATGCGGAATATAAATAGTTGTATATGCAGTTATTGTTCTTTCGAGTGTATACATATATATATGTACGTGAACGTAATAGTAATCCATAATATCTGAAGGCATAATGAAATCTTCTATAATAATAACAAAACACAATATATTAGACTGTAGATGCGAGGCATATGCGATTGGAGCCTAATATAAAACTGAATAACAGATTTTAGAAGCTCTTGGAAAATAACAATTATGTGTTGAAAATAAAAGTAGATCAGTGTAAAAACTAAACTAGTTAATTACTTTTTTCTAAACCTCAGTTTGCATGTTATCAGTAACACTATAGGTTCTTTAAATGTCGACCTTGTTTCACCATAACGCAGTTACGACATAATGAAATAATAGCAGATAAAATTTTTTTTCTTATTTATTGTTGATCACAGTTTTGGATAAAAATATTGTTTTTTACAAATAAGAACGATACAAAATAAGAGCTAAATCTTTCAACCCCATTTTTGAATATGTACAAAAATAATTTTTTTACATTCGTTTATACGGCCTTCAAGTACCTCTTTTATGGTATAAACAAAATTAATTGTAACTGAAAATTGATTTTAATGTTACGACTTTCAATCTATGTTTAATCTATTGATAATTTTATTCTGTGTATCATTGAAAAATAAATGATTAAACGTGGAATATTAAAGGCTAAACGTATTTCATAACACCTCATCAATAGGCTGCTATTTAAATTGTTGGTGCATAAACAATTATAATCATTCAGTGCATATTGTATATGATGTCATATATAGTTAGGCGTATCAAATTAATTGAACTAAATCTCGTATAACACACTCTTATATCTGTAGCTGTAATAGCTGTATATATCTTGTAGGTAATGTAGTATAAATATTCGTACATAAGTATATATAATAATTTCCAAAATTACACAAATTTTGGTATGCCGATTATTGATGACGTTCAAGGAAAGCCGTTTATAAATTCTATTTATGAGAAATTATTTTGTGTCTATAGGTCTTCGACGTTTTAAGTAAATATTCGTTTTATAACATACATTTTGCATTGATATCAATAGCCATAAATTATTTCAACAATAGGGGATTTTAAATTTACATTTTATTTAGCTGAAATTTGAAGCATACCACATTATATTTTTCACAATTGTTTTTAACCGTTTCTGCGGTTAAACGTTTAGATAGGTATAAGTATATTTCATATAAAAAATAATGGTTAGTAAGAGGTTTAAAACTGTTTTCGTGAAAAGCTCCCCGATAAGAACGCGCGCCATCTACCGGGCTGACTAAGCTCTACAGACCTGCCTTAACATCGATTTTGAAATTTGCGGTAGCGGCGGCGGCAGCGGCTGGTGAGCATTTATCGTCGCACCCGTTTACCGGTCAGTACGTGAAACCGCTCCGGTCGCGCGACGTTTTCCTCCGCCGATGTTTCAAAAAGTTTCAAACAGTAATAGAATATATCAGCCGCCGCCACTGCTACCATCAGCTCTTCTGCGATTCTATTGCGCGTGCCCTTCGCCATGATAACCACTAAAGTCGCTCTTCGCAACGCCGTCAAGGTAAACGCGCGCCACCGTATTGACATTTGGAACGGATCGATTTAAGAGTAGATTTACGCACTGACGACATGCATAAAAGTCTTGTAAATGAGACGCTGTAATGCGCACGCGTACGCCACAGTTGCTACAAAATTTGTTCTGTAGGATTTTCTGAGTTTTATCCACAACTGCGTTCGTCGTGTGATTCGTATTCCCTCGTTTAGTGTATCATATATTACGAAGAATACCGACCGTAATTGACGTCGCGTCCGAATAGTCGTCAAAATTTTGTCACGACGTTGTTTACATCACATCCTCCCCACATATCCACCTTATTTTTGTCTTTCCTTTTACACCCCGTTCAACGTGGACCCGAAACGGTTGTCACATACGTTTCCGAAACGCACATAAAGTACGGCTAAATCGTTTTCGATAAGACGATCCCGCGGTCTTGCATTCACTGCGGTTTTCTTGACACATTTTAGGCCATTTTAGGAAGAATTCACATGAAAGGCATTAAACGCGCGCTTAGCCAACGCTTAACGCGTTGACAAATTCATACTGATTTATTTATCGACGAAATTAAAAAAGGCTCCCAATTCGGGATATGATGAATAGTTAACATTCAAATAAAATGAGCAAAAGAAAGGCTTGGAAAGACATTTTTGTCATTTTTTGTGACCCAAGTGATACAAAGAAAGAAAAAATTCATGGTAAGTATTGTTAGTTATTTTATATTTAATAATTAAATATAAATGTAAATAAAATATTTTTATCAACAATTTTCAACGACGCTTCTTCGATCAGCATCCATAAACAAAGGGCATCTGCAACGTTCGTCTTCGACAGAATACAATACTCGGCTTACTATGGTATAAACGCGCGCTCAGCTCGTAAATTCGGTGAAGTGGTAGCAATGTCAACGTACATTTAACGCCTTTCATGTGAACTAGCCCTTAGGGTCAATCAGTGGCGGACTCGTGCGCGGCCAACAACGGTCGGTGCGCGTGGGTTTATTTTCGTATGGGCGTCACGCCAGATATGCGATTCTTCACCGACACACTCGCTGCGCGTATACCGACGGACCTGGCGCAACACGAGTGTCTCATTGCAGCAAAATTTTTGGCTGCGTTATCACTTAATTGTATCAAATATTATCGTATCCGTTATCACTGCCATATTTTAAATATATTATATTACGTTATATTATATATATAACAAAACTTATTCCAACACAGACAGGACAATCTTAAATGACAATTTTAAACAAAACAAAAACCAGACTGCGTAGACCCTACATTATGTTATAATATAGTCCAATGACCTCAATTGAATTCCCAGAATATTTCTCTATCTATTTGTAGAAAGTTTGTGAAAATCTCCACTAAGTCTGAAAATAATTTCTTCTATTAAGATAAAAATATTTTCTTAATAATTCTTTAGTTATTTTGTTTACAAATTATATTTGTGATTCTATTTTAATTTTTTTTTTTTTATTATTATTTACTATAATGGAATCTGAATTAAAATATTCAATATGCGACAAAACCTTTACACAAAATAAAACACACATTTACGGAATATGTATAACATCGAATCAGTGTTCACTGACCTTTTGTGTGATATTTGCAACAAATATTTTAAAACTAAAAATACGTTCAATACACACATATTAATACTTATACATAATTTATGAATTATGATATTCAAGGTGGTATCACAGAATAAATAAATAATGTATTTTATATAATGTATCATTATTTATTTAATTAGTTATTCTGTGGTGGTATCATTTAATCTATAATAAAAAATATGATAATATTTGATATAGCTATTGGGTGATAACGCAGCCAAACATTTTGCTGCAATGAGATACTTGTGGTGCAACAAGTTCATCGTAAACTTGAAACGTGCACGACAGGGTTATTCCTGTCGCAATCAAATGTTATTCATCATTTTTTTTCTCGGTAACCAAACCTTGTTTTGGAATTCGGGTTTGGTTATTAATTCCTCTTACTCGCCCGGTCATCCTGCAAAGCTCTTACAAATCATATTTATCAGTGTATAAACTGCTGACGTAAATACTATTTTTATGATAATGGTGGCATACGATGTCAAAAGTAAATAAATACAGAGCAACGAATAAAAATAATATGATATATGTTAAATTGCAAATTTATTAAATTATATTAATCTTCTTATTTTCGTGTCGGTTAATGGTAGAATTTTAAATTCCCTTCTTCTTCCAAAAATTAGCAATTTTAATTGCATTATCATTTAATTGTTGTCTTATAAAATCCACGATCTCTCCTCTTCCTGGTAGCATTGATTAAATATACGTATGTTTAATCAATGCTGGTAGTATTGGTTATTTATTTAGAATGAGCATAAATCATCGATTATAAGAGTTCCTTATCCCCTGGGTGTCCCTTACATTTTCGAGTAAACTGACGTGTGTTTTCATTAGTGTTTTCAAGGTGATTAAGAGAACATTTACTTATTATTATATTCGAAAATACTATTCAAAAACGGATCATTACAATTCAGGTTCGATAAATATTCTTAGTTTAAATTACAAGTATAAATCAATATAAATATTATTTTTTTTCTACACTAAGAATATTATTAAATATATTAGTCTCGCCGGTATGTCGCGTCATTAGAAATTCGTTTTCGATTTTAGCGCTTGAGATGTTTCTTGCCCAATTAACACTTCCATGTGTTTAATAAATCGATATCATATGGGTTAGAGTGTCCTCATTTTAAATTAGTGATACGTAATATTCTTAGATTCAGTGGCAATATTTTACTACCCACAATCCAAATTAGACTATATTTAGATAAGAACTACAAATTTAAAAAAATATTTGAATTTGCAGAAATTTTGAATAATAATTATGTAATATAAAAATTATAAGACCAACATTTTTCAGCCTTCAAGATAATAACCTAGTAGGATCTGCAAAGGACTAGTGTTATTTCTAAACTATCAAATATTATATCAGTTACCCAATTTTATTTATGTTAATAGGTATTTTAAAGACTGAATTTGTTATTATACTGTATTGAAAAAATAAAAAATTCTTCTCCGAACATATAATTCTGCCATTATACTTCGGCTTTGTTTTTGCCCAGTGCGAAAGCTGTTTTAACGTTGAACATTTTATTATTCATATACTCGAAAACGCATTATATTTTCTCCAGTAATCATATACTAGGTGGTGGGAACCTGTTCGTGCAATTTCGCCAGGTATTTATGGTAATGTTTATGATCGCATACAAATGCACGTTGGCTTCTCAACTTTTAAACATGCACTAAGAAACGTCTATAATTAGTCACGAAAGGAATTAGTGCGAAAGAAAAACAACAATAACACAAAGAGATAACGTTTATATTTGTTGATTTTTAAACAACAATTTATTTTGCCAATAAAAAATTCGTTCTGATACAATGAATTATGATTTAGACGATTTCAGTAAAACACTTTATCTAAAAAAATGAACATATTATTATTTTGTACGAAGAAACAGAAACAAGATATTTATTTTTTCATCAAGTACTTGTTAGTAATTAATAAAATTATTACCAATACGATATAAATAGAAAGGGTACTGTCATGATTATATAATAACACTTAACCTGTTTTAACTCTGTTTTCAGCTTTTTTATCGTACAAGTAGTTTTGTTGTTACAATTGATAAAAGTTAAGCATGTTTTCGTCAAAAAAACGAACGGTATCGAATCCCCTTAAAACAATTTAACCACTGTGTAGTGATTCATTAATAATAATATTGCAGTTATTATATCGACAGTTGTGTTAATAATAAAAAAATGAAATATATATCCACTATAAAACAAAAACATTTTTAATATGTTTTAAAATTAAGAAAAATTAAGAAACTCTTAACTCAAATGAGACTACACGATCTTGAGAATATACAAAAAGGGTATATGGTATTATTGTATTGGTCCTATAAACTTAGAACCAATGTACCATTGCTTTCGAAAAAAAGATTCTGAGTGAAAGTGATTAGGTTGGATTAATTTATATTTTAATGATGATTGATATAATAGTAGAACCAAATGCCTCAATATGGTAGGTAGAACTTAAAAAAATAATCTAAAATTTGTAAAAATCGAAAATTTCAAATGCTAGTAAAACAGCATATTAAAATATTTCAAAACTATAAATTATCTGTAAAATACTAATATAAAATACTCAATAAATGTTTTGAATTGTTAAATTTAATATTTATAAGATAAAAACTAAATAATTAATATCGTTTAATGAAAATTCATTGAATATATGATCTTCAAAATTTCATTTTTAAACGCTTATATAACATTTTTGAGACATTCCAGTAAAAAATGTTCAAAAAAAGAAAAAGAAAATCTTATAAAAATGTTTTATCTAATTTTCAAGCCTTAAGTATATAAATTGAACATTTTTGAAATGTTTATCTCAAAAAATAAGTCGATTTTCGTGATTTTTATCATTTTGTCAAATTTAAAATTTCATATGCTGGTAATATTTTTTTATAAAGAATAGCTCCATTATCTTTTCATTAATCAGTAAAAGAGATGTGTAAGATATTTTTACTACATTTTCAAGACTTTTTATCAAACCAAAATTATTTTATCGACATTTCTGAAGAAAGGTAAGGAAACACACAATTTTTAATGATCTATGAAATAGCTGAAAAAAACTTTTAAAGATTATCCCCTTTGTAGCGAACAGTGAATATTTAAATTCTTTACGATGATTACTTTTCAATTTACGATAAAGAAAAAAATTCGATTTTATCGAAAACCAATATCGTAATTCTGGCCATTTTTAATAACTTTTCGTAAAAATTTTTCAATTATTATAAAAACTATTGGGAAATTCGTAAAATGACTACTTTTAAAGTACTATTACTACAACTATTTTCTAATTGAAATCTCTCGTAATTGTGACAATCAGAATAATTCATCTGTTTGAAAACGTGTACACAAACACAAAAAAAAAAAATAGTGCATGACAAATAAAAAGGCGATTGTTAATGGTGGGAGTTCGAATCACCTGATGTTTATTCTATTTTTTCGGAACAATTTTTAAGAAATTGAATAAATGTCCCTTTTTAAGTATCAACTAGAACCCATCTCCGATCTTTACTTCTTCATTGGTGATTATCGAAGCAATCATTTTGATCCAAATTGTAAAAACAGAAGTAATAAAAAACATATACATTATGGTAAAACTATACATTCCTTATTTTACTCAGTATCTAAAAATATTTCGTTTTTATAAATCTTAATGATTACAATTTTGTTCTAAATCAGATAATTGTTACTATTTATTAATTTAATGTTTCACTAACTATATAAGTAACATATATTGACAAAATCAAACCTTTATAAAACGGTAGATATTTTATTATAAAAGATATACATTTTTTATTAAATAAAATGTTTTAATGAATACCATTTTTTTTTTTTGTACAGAAGTTCAACACGTCATGGCAATGTAGAAACCTTACAAATGAAGCCTCATTCGAATTAAAAGTTTGTTCAGTTTTGTATAAAAATACTAGTGCATCAAGTATTTTAATGTAATATTAAAACACACATAAATACAGCTGTAATACTATTCTGAATTATCTACTTAGGTATAACTGTATTAAAATATATTTATATTGACTTAATTCAAACATAAAATATATAACTACAGGAGATAATATTATTCAAATTTAAACCGTATACAAATTATATATTATTCAATATTGTCAATCAATACTTAAATATTTATATCAATATTTTATGACATAAACTAACATTTTTCCAAACCCATTATTTAATTTTCCGTTAAAAGTTTAGAGAAATAGAATAAAATTATATTAAATTACATTTAATAATTGTATGTAGAAACTGCATTGTAAGATAAATCTTCTTATTTTATTGCATTTCAGCTATAATCTGTTAAAAATGTGTAGCCAAATTAATAATTTTATTTGAGATTTTGAAACTTTGCTGTAAAAATACAAGTTGATGTTAAGATATAAACAATATTAATTACATTTAAGGAATAGTTTTATGTTTAATAAAGAAAAAAAATGAATTTATAATATATAATATTAGTGACGGTTTACATTAATGCGTCAGATATTGAAACGGCATGTAATGTTATTTTTTTACGTGTAGCCGTATAAACTTCATAAATTAGAAACTGGACCCAGTACTACGACGACAGTGAACAAAGATGATGCCTTGAATTACTACAAGCAAATGCAGTATATCAGACGTATTGAAACAGCAGCCGGCAATTTGTATAAGGAGAAGATCGTCCGAGGATTCTGTCACTTGTATTCCGGACAGGTTAGTATTACTACATGAATAGTCCACGTAGGTTATCTCTGCACATTTCACGTCTAGTAGAGCAGTTGTACTCTTCAAACGATTATTTTTTTTTATTCTCGACTTTAGGAAGCTTGTGCAGTGGGCATGAAATCAGCGTTCCGTGAACCGGACTCAATCATATCAGCCTACCGTGTACACGGTTGGACATATCTGATGGGTGCGAGTCCTGTGGAGGTTCTCTCTGAGCTCACGGGTCGTTTCGGAGGTGTAGCACGCGGCAAAGGCGGTTCCATGCACATGTACGGGAAAAATTTTTACGGTGGAAACGGTATCGTCGGTGCTCAGGTTTGTGAACCAAAATTGTTAACATTTTTCATATGAATACCATTGAGTAATCAGATCGCGTTTGGAAATGGTTAATAGGAATATAAGTCCAATGCAATAATTGTTTTGAGATGTTTAATAAATTGAACACAAATTATCAGTTATATTTATATTTATTGGGAATTGATTTTTTACCCATTTATAACAATTTCTATGAGATTTTTCTTATACAAAAATGTTATTAAGTCAAGTAGATTAGGTTTTTCGGCTGGTACCAAAATGGTTCCCGTTTGAAAAGGGTATTTTATTAAGTTGAGTCGAATTGATTCCCGTTTAATTATGGGCATTTTCCTTTTCAATTGTACAGGCTTAAGACTTCTTCACGTAAACAATCTCCATTCAATGTCATATAAGCTTTATATTTTCCTTTTGTTGATAATCATCTCTGTGTGTTATCCTTTGCAAGGTTCTTTTGGAATCAAAACTTGTAACTGTCAATATTCAACAACTTAGTTTCCTTTCAACTAAATATAAACTCTATAATAAAGAACAATTATAAAAACTATTAATTAAAATATGATGGATATTTATGTAAAAATAAATTTATATAAAATATAAATACGATGACATTATATAAGTGACGATGTGTTATTCGAGACTGTACAGTGCTCACTAACATTATTGTCATACCCGTATAGCGATGCCAATATCTCAATTGTTATCTTAATCTATCTGGGTATCAGTGATACTTTGCTAATCCTCCATTATAATAATCTATTGCCATTTTATTGCGTTATATATATTATATTTTAAACTATATAATTTATATTTTTTACGAGACATGTTTGTACAACCAACCAATTATTAAAAATTAAAAACTAAAATTGTAACTATTTGACTTGAAAACAAACGGGAACCAATTCGGATCAATCTAATAAATTACCTTTTTTAAACGGGAACCAATTCGGCTCAATTTATTAATATACCCTTTTCAAATGAGAACCAATTCGGTTACTCTCTGTTTTTCATGGAAATGACGTTAGTTACATCAGATAATTGGTGACCGGAACTCCACTATATAATAGGAACGTGAGCAAACGTTGATATAATTTATATTTAAAATACTATTCACTGAATGTCATGAAATTTGACAAAAAAAAAAAAAATTGAAAATCTTAATTTAATTAGAATTATAATTAAAGTACTGAACCACGTAGTAGTTATGAATTTATAACACAATACATATATATTGCGAACTATACGAATAAAACCAGTTTGTTAGGGAATTATTATATACTTAAACTATAATTTTGAACGAATAAAAATCAAACACTAAGTATCCCTATATTTGTACGTGTTGCGAGTACAATAACGGGCTAGTTGTGTTTTTAGGTTCCTTTGGGAGCAGGCATTGCGCTTGCTGCGAAATATTTGGGCACAGGTGGAGTGTGCTTCGCTTTATATGGAGATGGAGCTGCAAATCAAGGCCAAGTGTTCGAAGCGTACAATATGGCCAAACTGTGGGATCTGCCGTGCGTGTTTGTATGCGAAAACAACGGTTACGCAATGGGAACGAGTTCGGAACGGTCAGCGTCAAACACATCGTACTACACCAGGGGCGATTACATACCCGGCATTTGGGTAAATATTTTGTGTGACCACTTACGACCTATCCGAATCATTGAAATGTAAATTGTTGGTGCTTTTAATAATTCCCTCTCAGATTCACAGCGATGATAAATTCAGATTTCTACGCACCCTGTAAATTATATTTCAAGCAGAATATTCTATAAGATCTACGTTTCATCTGTATTGTATATCTACAAAAAAGAAACTTGTGTATTCCATGAATCACTGCTAGTATACAATGCAAACATTAACCATAAATATGTTTATTCGGATGTTATTTGACGTATGGTGATTAAATGTCATTAATGTATTTTACACCATCGGTTTTTGAAGATTTCAGTTTTTGATAAAATATAATAATGAATGAATTCTAGGTAGATGGGATGGACGTATTGGCGGTTAGAGAAGCGTCCAAGTTTGCTGTGGATTACTGTGTTAAAGGAAACGGTCCAATCGTTTTAGAAACTGTTACTTACAGATACTCTGGCCACTCAATGTCGGATCCCGGTACATCGTACAGAACCCGAGCAGAAATCCAGGCTGTGCGGATGACCAGAGACCCAATCACATCATTTAAAGAAAAAATTCTCTCCGCTAATCTGACGACTGTAGACGATCTCAAAGTAAATTGAAATATTTTTTATCAAAATATTAGTATTTTTTTCAATGTATATGATATATTTATTATTGTTGTGTTTATTATTTAGAAAATCGATAGTGAAATTAAAACAGAAATCGACCGAGCAGTTATAAAAGCCAAAGAAGATCCAGAAATTCCATTAGAAGAACTAGCCGCTGATATTTATTCAAAACCACTCGAAAGTGAGCATCGAGGGGTAGTACCTTGGCAAAAGTTAAAACACCTAAGAATTGGATCAGCAGTTAATATTAAGTGAATTACTACAAATTGTAACAGCTAAATGTGATAAAAGTTGATTTTGATAATTTGATGAGATGCTGGAAAGTAGGCAGGGTATTTATTATTGAATTCAAAACAAATTTATAGTTTTTGTTAGTTTTTAACAAATATTTACTCACTGGATTTAATTTATTACTAGACTGGTTTTTTGAGTTTTTGAACGAAATTATGAATGTATTTTTATTTTAACTTGCATACTATTTTGTTCAACTTTACTGAAAAATGTAAAGTAAAATAAATAACACAAGTTTAAAAAAAATTGTCTGTATATTATATAAACTATTAAATTTTAAAAAAAAATATCAAATCTCTTAACTCTTGAGTCTAAGTGGAGGAAAAATTATTTGATTTTAAAAATGTTAAGTTTACTAATTATTTAAAAAAGAAAGAAATTTGGACATTTTATTTTTTTTTTAATACGATTTACGACCTCATAGCTTCCAGCTATATATTTTACTGTTATTCTGAAACATAATATTAACGAAAGCTGTATTTTTTTTAAATATTTTATCATAAGTAATCTTATAGGCACAACATTTTTTTTTTTTAAGGGGGGGGTTTGTATATTTTTATATAATTTGTAAACCACTTTTACTCCATAAAAACATATTTAATAATTTTCTTGGATTTGGGGGGGGGTGAACTCGTATAACCTCCCCTAGTATACGCCCTAGTAATCTTAAATTAATTAATTATTTTATTTATCTGATGATTAAATTTTATGGTGTACTGTTGTACTGGTGTCTAGTGCTATATTATTTTATTTTAGGTCTTAAAATTTCAATAAAAACACTTCCTTTGTTGTATTTTAGTAAATATATCGTATGAGGCTGATACGCAATTAAAATAAACTATAAAAGTTAAGTGTTTTAATAAGCATGTGCTATGAAAATAAAAAGGTTATTTTGTTCTTAAATATTTTACTTTCAATGTTGATTCTTATACAATGTACAATTATACTATTTATATTTTAGTTATTAATATGATCATATAATAATTTATAATTAAAAGTAAACGACCCAATTATGAATGCGATTATTTTATAATGAAATGACTATAGTTAATCAGCAAAACTTTAATATGCATTTACATCTAGAGTAACAGAAGTCATAGTTTTAACGCGTACCATAAAGAATAAGTGTTTTTAGTATTAACTTAACGATTCAATTCTCGGTCAAATGTTTAAGTATTAATTTTTAGTTCGTAAAATATAGATACGCTAGAAAAATATTAATTTATATTATAAAAATTATAATTTGGACAAAGAACACGTTTAAACTACTCTAATATGTCGTATGTAATATGCGTCCTAAATAAAGACAGCAAATCATATCAGTCAATCTTTAACGACATGTTTTTTTAATAAATGCACTGAAAATTTCATTATAACTTATAGTATGTTGATATATATATACTTATAATATATTGATTATGCATGCAATTTAAAATATACAATTCCAGTTTTCGAATTTAATCCGGAATTAAGTACGATTCGTCGGTGATTTATCATTACTAAAACAAATAATAAAATTATAAAGACCATCAAACGAGTATATGATCAACTACCTATTTCTTAATTCTTCAAGATGGTAGCGCCTCGTACTATGATGCACAGGATCACGTGAAACATCCAAAAAAATGGTATACAAAGTTAATAGATTCCTATACTAAATTATATATGCAAATAGTCTATAATTAACAAATATATTTATAAAAAAAAAAGTTTTTGCTTCTTTTCGTGTTGATAAGTATGTCTATTAGCTATTATATTAAAGCAATTATATTGTCTATTAGCGATTAAATAATTAGCGGAGCACACATTCCTTGTTCTCCGAGCGACCATACAAAAAATAGCTACATGCGTAGACACGTCGGTTAATTATGGTCGTTTGGTTCACAATCAATGCACCAGACTTATTTTTATCATTCCGGATTAGCGTTGATCGTGGAAACAAAATTTTTAGTTAATGTTTCATACACAATAAGTTATTTTTTTCTAATTTATTTTCATTTTATCGCAACGAAGAGTTAATAGAGCTTAAAAAAATTTAATGTTGATAAATACTTTATATAAACTTATACCTATAACAAAATTAATTATTTTTTACTCACCTACACAACCATCATACAAATTATTTGTGTACCACCTTATGTGAACCTCAGGAGCCGCCACTGCTTGTAGACTTACCGAAAATACCCTGTTCAAGGACAGAGCATCAAATATCAAACATTTTATCTACATATGTGACAGACTTCTATAATCATAGTGTCACCAACCACTTGGCGGATAATAAATAGTTTTATTGAAAATAAGTTACGTTAGTTAGTAGTTAAATAAGTTATTTAAGTTACACTTAAATTTAGAGTAGCTATACCGAATTTTCAAATGATTACATTTTTCATCAGCTATGAATTTATTTCCGAATAATAGAAGAAATTTTACGTTTTTTTACTCATTCAAATTTTACATTTTGATTGGTTTCGGCTTTTTACCATATAACCTATATGAATACTACTTACTATAGTAATGTAATCCGCTCAAACTTAATCTTAAACTCCGACTGTTCGAAAAAAATGTCTTTTGTGATTTTCTTATTGTCACGGTTATATAATCTCTTGGTGATAAATACTATGATAGCTTGAATTCTTACCGTACGTATAAGTAAACCTTCCATATAACGCGATAATGCTGTTTATAGTAACTATAAGGAACAATAGTAAAATATGCATCGACGTCATGTCTAAACTAGTTAACAAAACGATAAATTAAAAAGCATGTTCGTGTTGGTTTTTATTGATTTAAAAACTATATTTTAATAGACACCTGTTTATGAATAAATCTGATGAATAATTTGCAAATGATTTAACGTACAACTCATTTTATTTTAATAATAACCATAACGTCGTACATTTTTATTTGATAAAAAATATTTCATTGTTTATACCCTGCTTTAGATATGATACAATAAAGTAACACAAATAATTGTTAACAATGTCTATATATTTGAACATTGACATACCGTTATTTTATTGTTAATTAACAGACAAGTGCATTAATTAAAGTTTTTTTTCTTTTCGCAACAATCTCTTAATATTATAACACAATTATAGTTGATATCATTATTGGGAAAAAACGCATAATTATTATAGGAACGCATTCTTTTTAAATATGGCAACGAGGAATGAGAAAGAGTTCCTTTTCTGAAAAATGTAAACGGAAATTTCCGTTCCAAAAAAAAAAAAAAAATGTTATCTTTGATAACAATATTTTCTATAATATATTCCTAATATTCAACTAAATGTTAGTCTTGGTAATAAATTATTAATAGTTCATTCTATAATCAATGGTAAATAGTGTACATTTATTTGGCCTCAATTGTAATCATTAATTACCGTTGATAAGACGTTATGTCCTATCCATGTTTTTATTATTTAATATCTATATAAGTTAATATGATAATATAAGCCACGATTGTATAATTGCAATAAAAACTATATAAATTATTCCAATCAATTTTGTAAAAAAATTAGCTCCTTAAAAATGCCTGTACTCCTCCACTTTTTGTTAGTTTTTTTCTTAAGTATCTATTTAATACTGTTAATGGGTATAAATCAAAAGCTGACACCTATAAAGTTCAATTTAGGTTCAATAACTATATAATTATATAACAATAATAATAACTATGAGGAAAGGTTTTGAATTTAAAAATTAAAAAAAATGGGTAAAAGAGACTTCATTGTATAAATCAAAAAAATTATTATGGTACAAAGATGAACATTAAAATTTTATGAAATACGGTTCATTTCTGGTATTTTATTTAATTTAATTTGAAGTTCCTGTTTTTTCAATTATCCAATGCTAAAGGTTTCAGTTCCAGAACCGGTTCTTTTCCTTTTCGGTATAATTCTTTATGTTTTTGTCCTTGGATCATAAAAAATTATTTGTATATGCTTTTCATTATATGCTACAATTTGTTTTCAAATAAAATAGATGAGTTACATAATATAATACGTATCAAATTAGTTAAAAATTCATAAATTATGTACATATATGCATAGTTATAATATTATAAAAAACAATTTAAAAACATCAAAATATAACTAATACTACATATAATTTAAAAAAATTATACGAGCTGAATTAAATTAAATATTTGCAAATTAAAAATAAAAGGTTAACATTTTTATACGAGTAACATTAAGAATACTTACGTATTATTTATATTACTTATTTTTTTTAAGAAACAAAAAAATATCAACTAGAAATATATTGTATGCAAAAAAAATAATCGGCAATTATTAACGTACATTTATTGGAGATTAGTCTATAGTTATTTTTCTATTAAAAATCAAACGTAGTATGTTAAAATGATTAATAAAATAATTCAAGGTTAAAATATAAATTTTAAAAATATAAATATGTAGGTACATCATACAATTCATTTTATAGTGGTCATGATTATTATTTATTTTATTTCGACGTTTACAGATGTATATAGGTATACTTTGAATATATTTATTATTATAACAATTTTCTAAACTTATGTGTATAATATACATATATATATATATATTCTACGTGTAGAATTTATTAGGAGCATTAACTAATTTTTATTACGAATAAAAATATAACCTTAAAATCTACTTAATTTATTATTTATATTTTAAATAATTACTTTATTCATGGTCTTATTATATCACAATTTTACATCAACTGTCAATTATTATAACTTGTATTCATAAATTCAAGAAATAAACTATTAGTGACAGTGGTAATTTTACTAGAGGGGGTCCAGGGGTTCTGGACCCCGACTTTAGATTTCGAGTTTAGTTTGTTAAAATATTATTTGCTCGGGAAACGCTCCCGTTTAAATATTGTTATCTTGTTTTCGTTTATAACGTTTAAATATAAAAATATAAGAATTAAATTTTAAATATTTAATTGTTAATGGATTTAACATTTTGTGTCTTAATATATTATAAGATAATATCAAAGGATCTCCCTCCTTAGAAAAAATTCTAAAACTACCAATGATTAGAGGTACTTATTAAGCTGAATTGTTTATAATATATCGATATTATCGATAGTAGTATGAAATTACACAATATTTACCTCTTAGAACCCAAATAATTAAACTATTTTACTTTTATATATACTAAATTTCATATAACAGAATAATAATAAATAATAATGTTGATGTTCTTTAAATAATTTGTATGAAGAACTAATATTTTTCAAATATAAAATGTAATGAACGAAATGATTTTAAATTTTAATTCAATAGGTTTAACATGTCATCGATTGAAAAAAGTGTTATTTTAATAATTTCAATAATTACTGTTAATATATATATAAATGAAAATACAACTATCAATAATATAAAATAATGAATGCTTTATATAATAATAATAATAATAAATAATATAATTCTGATAATATATTGGTATATGAATAATTCTTATAATTTATTATTAAATGTTGAGGACAGTTGCTTGTATGCAATATATAGTATTTACTAAGTTCGTATAATACTGTATTTAATGCCAATTATTTTCATTATAATATTATATGTATGGAATTTTATTATATATATATTTGAACACAAAGTTGCAGACATAAATAATTGAAGTATTTAGTTTCAAATGTTATCTGCTGTTCGTTTTGTTTATATCATAATTATCTTGTATAAAATAAAACAAATGAAATAAAAATTACGTTAATATTTTCTACATAATTTTTCTAAGCGTTGTATAATAATAATGATTACTTTTTGTATAATAGTTTAGATATAAAAATAACGAACAACCAGTAATATATCTCGGATCTTAATATAAGTAATTGTAATATATTCATTTTAATCTTGGTATCACTTTGCATTCTTTTGATTTTTAAATTTGAACTGATCTACATATTATTTTTCAAACAAGCATTTCTATTGTTTTATTAAATTTAATTATTACTATTTATACCTTATATTATAATTATAATTCAAGGAAATTATCTTGTTTTTGATGATGTTTATTAATTAAGTTATTTCAATTATTTTTTCCGCGATATCGTCGTAAATATAACAACAGGTACCCAGTCATTTGATTACAATTTCAACCATGTTATTTTGTTACATACCCAAACATTTAAGAAAACCCTTCTCATAAATATTGTAGCGTAATGAAGTACCATTGATTTTAGAGGAATATATCATATTATTAGTCAAAATAATGAATATTACTTATCTATTAATGCATAAAATTATTTCAGTTTTAAAAAATGTTATAATATCTTTAATTATTATAATATTGTATTATTCAAATTTCATTAATGACACTATTTAATTGTATCATAATATAATATAAACTTTATATTATTGTTTTATTTTTATTAGCAAATTATTAAATTAAATTAAATTAAATTAATAAAATATAAAATTTTAAACGAATTATTAACCGAAAATATTTTAGCTGTTTCAAATTATTTTATCTCTGAATAATATAGGTACACATAATCTAATGTAGAGCCCATTGTTTATTTATTATTAATTACGAATTATTATCTTTAATTATATAAGAATAATATTTTCATATTATAGTCTCTACATACTTCACACAGATTTAAAAATTAATACAAAAGAAGAAACGGCTAAAATCCTATACAACTGAAAAATCACACAAAATCGTTAACGTCCGCTCTTGATTCCGACATTATCCATGGAAATACATCTCTCAGACTAAAAAGAAAGTGGTGTAGGAGGTCTCAATGTTATTTAACCTCTAAATCAAATTTATTTATCTTTAAATCAAACCTGTTAAGGAAATTATAAAGTGTTGCCCTTGGGTTGCTTCTTTTTCATGTATATCCAAGTCATATAATATCAGCACGAAAACTTATTGTAATAACATATAACAGATTATTTGTTTAAAAAATAAATCGTTATAAAAATAAAAATATTATAGGCTAATGAATATTTTGTTCAATGCTCCTCTTTTTTTTTAAATATATAACACCTATAGTATAGATACGTATTTTATCAAATATTGAAGTATTTCACGGAAATGTTTTTAAAATTCTGTATTTAAAATAGTTTAATCAATAATGTTTTTCTTTTATAAATTAAAAGTAATAACGAACAAGATCACAATGGTATTTATTATACACAAATTTAAGAAATATTGATTCGTTTAAAATTTTAAAAATATTCTATAACCAAATAAACGATAAACAAAGTAAAAATATTACTGAATTTATGATAACGGTCTGTAAGAAATATTAGTAGCTATATATTTTCATTGCCATTTTCATACTTTTTGTAGGTTACCAATTTGATATTACATCTATATTGTAAAGCTGATGTTGTCATCACTTATCCTTATTCAAAAGTAGAATTTATATGGATATTATCTACTATTTTACTTGTGCTATTCTGTGTATTGTCAGAAAAAATTATTCGAGTACAAAAATTGAGATACACAAATTTTCATATAATGAAAAAATAAAAATGTTAAATTAAATTTATTCAGTATCAAAAGAATCACAATATTTATACTATAAAGTGTAAGTAGATTTCAAAATTTATCAAAACTTCTGTAACCAAAACAAATATCCTATTGCCGATCATCATATCTGGGATAGTATTATTTACCACGATACATACTAATTATACGTTTATAATTTTTCTTGTCTTTTGTTGTTATTTTTTATATTCATTAATTCTATTAAATTTCTAAACATTCATAAAAAATAAATTTCCAATTAAAACGCACTTGGATAAATTTTACTTAAATCATGATGCCGTAACAACGATATAATTAATACACAATAATTTGCATAATTTCGTAATATATCATATTTTTGTTAAAACCATCACTCTACGTAGATTTGTCACTATTCAGGGGCATTAATTGGATGTAGAATAATTCAATTTTCAATGACGATTCACGCGAATCAACATGATATTATGTATAATTTGTTAGGAACGTTTATGATTACTTCAGCCTTCCGAGTTCCGTTTATGTAGCATTCAAATAAATGCTCGTATTTGACAATACGCGCTTGGTTGAATTTATATTGTAGTAAACTTGGTATGATTTTATGAAATGTATTATTCTACCGAGTACCGAATAAATAATTTTGCCATTATGGTTATTTACACGTTCAAATTGTACACAAAACTATATAACTATTATACTGATATGCAATTTAGTGGTTAGCATATCGACATTAATATTTTAAATTTAATAACAACACATGAATTAATGTGTATAAATGTGTTCAATTATTTGGTTTTAAACCCAAACCCAACCATACCTCATTTAGAACAAAAGGTTAAGGATAAATAAATACTATTATTATGAAACCCATTATTACACGATCCAGTGATATACAGATTTGCCTCAACGGGACCTGTGTAGAGTTTACGACCCTCGTAGAAGAATTTGAGTGGTGCTTTAGACAACATCCGTGTTCGTATGGCTTGTGGAAAAAAGTTATTTTTTCCTTATGCATATCTACTGCTACTTGAGGATTTTCGAATCCCTGAATATTTTTTCCGTAGCCGATTGTAATTGAATACTTGAGCATTGAACGGACGAATAAAGTTTGCCTAAACTGCGTGTGAAAGAACTGTGACAGTGCTCCGTTTTGTAATTACATACATGTAACACGCCTTTTTCGATCTACAAATCTTTTAGATTTATTTAAATCAGTAGAGATAGAGAGTAAAAAAGAAAAAATTTGTTTTTCTTTGTCGAATTAATAATAATATTAATAATAAGGCGTACGCGATATGAGTCACGTTCGGGACACTGTCGGCGGCGGCGCGATATTGCGAAAACCCCGTCCCCAATGTTGCCAGGGAAGGGGAGCGGTAGTCGGGCACGCGCGTGCGTAATCACCGCCCCACTTCACCACCCCCACCACTGGTCCCGTTGATTCAACTTGTTCTGCTCAAAGAATGGAATCCGAAATCATTATCCAGCCACCAGTTGTCGTGCGTGTGTCCCCGTGCATAGTAGAGTCTAAACGTTGCAACCGCAGTAACAGCGGTAATCGCAGCAGCAGCAGCAGCAGCAGCGGCAGCACCGCACTTTGGTGCGAACGTTTCGTTCGTCAAGTTTATAGCCGACAAAGTTCTGTTTACTTCGTGCGAGTGTTTCATTTTATCACCTTGCCAAACCGGTAGCAGTCCTCCGAACCAAATACTTTCGAACCTCCACCGTCCAGTATTGCAGCGCGCTGCAAAGGGGTAAGTCAAATTACAGCCGTTTAGAGCATATTATTAAACTGAATTATTGCGTGGTCACATCGTAAGATACCGATTATTAACACTACACCGTCGTCCCCGTGCTATCTTATGGTCGGAACTTCTTATTTTTTTCCGTCTTGTATACATTTCAAATACAGAACGGACGGCCTTGCAGGTGCGTGTTGAAGGGGTGGAATAATCGTCCCCCTCTGCACGACCGCCGCGTTGTAGACGTGACGACCGGGCCACCGTATGTACTGGAAAAAATATTATAATGAAAATAATCGATACGTTTGAAAAGCCCTTGACATTTACTGATATATAACCACGTAGTCATCGCACAAGCTTTTCTTCGTTGAGATTTACGTTTCGAGCCATTTTTTTTTATTTTTTTTTCACAGGTAATTTTTTTTACTTATCGTTGTTTTTTCGTAATCGAATTCTCCATTCCCTCCACATAGGTGAATATTTGATATCAAACCTGGCGCGTGTTGCAACCGTCATCGACTTTGCCATGAAGACGACTATTGTATAACAATAACAATAACAATAATAATATTTTGTTAACGTGTACGTGTGATCAGGGCTTGTAAATATTTCGTGTTGTGTACGACTGTGGCGACTAAGCACACCCACCGCGAAAGGTCAAACGCACCACGGAAAGAATAAGCGAAAACCGAATGTAGGTAGTAATAACTAATAATAGTTGAAGTTAAATTGTATTGACGACGGGATTCCGTTGTTATTTCATTATATATTCTTATGCATGTTCAATGAATTTCCAAAGAACTGATGTGAACGTTTGTTAAACGTTTTGCCAATAATTGCACGTCGTAAACTAATAAATACAGCAGTGTACAAATACATAAAATATTATAAACCTTTAGTGGTGATGACCTCGTCCGATTTAATTAACTATAAAAACAATTGGGCATACGTGCCACGGCGATCTACGTGAAATCGAAAACGATTTTTTTTTTTTCAACACGCAGGTTTTCGGAATTTATTTGTACCTGCACCGATCGCCTTCCATCGCAAGCTGACGTAATCCACTGTCGTGCCGCCGCCGTCGTTTACCCGAGGTTGACGATGTTAGATAAATTGTCGATTTTTTCCCGTAAAAAAATTGCACGTCGATACGTGCCGGAAAATGTATTATTCGCTGACTGCAATAAAAATATTCTTTCTGTGTTTTATAATACATTATGTTTATGTATACCGTGCGTGTATATTATGTACTTGTTGCGCGAGTTTTTTTTTATTATTATTATTTCAAACGGATGTAATTTAATTTCACCAAGGTCCTCGAGATCAGACTACAATAACAAGTTAAAAAATGTGTATACCTATATTCACGGCCCGTGAACTTATATGATGCCTTTTCAATTCGAAACACCGTCGACGAGATTCAATTTTGATTTGAATTCATAAATTATTACTATTGCATCGTATTGAACTCAAAATACTGTATTATCACGAAAATTAATTCTTATTACATTCATTATAACAAATAAAGTTTCATAAAGTTAAGTTCACGAAAATTTTATAATTGAGTTTCATAATTTATTTTGGCAATAATTTCGTTTATTTATTTTAAACGAAAATATTTTAGTTTAAGATCCCAAACTTAAATCTATAATGAAATATTCTATTGTTTGGATTGATTTTGTATACTCAATGACACGTCATTTTGACAAATTAATTTATAAGTTGAAACATACAAATTTACATAAATATTTACGTACTAATTATTTTACATGTAAACAATTAAATCTTATTACATCAATTCATAAATCTTAGTAAATGTAACATACACTTTTTTTTATAACAACTTGATACAAGACTTATTGCTATTCAAATTTAAATTATATCTATTATCAAAAAGAACATTACTATTTTGTTGCACTATATAGCTTTACTGCATATATTTTGTATTTATGTCAACGTTCCAAAAGTTATCAACGTTACTATTTATAGAATAAGGTCTAATGAGAATTTGAAACTATTGAAATCATTTATTGTTATTATATTACTTAGTAAATTCCATATCCAATTAATTCAACATTTTACTCGGCTTATAATTTCATAAATTCTTTCTAAGGTCTTAAAACGACATAACATATAACATTTACATCCTCTCAAAAAAATAGAATTTTAAAATATTTTAAATTTTCGGAAGTATTTATAGTTTAAGCTCTTGATTTTAGTTTCAAATTACCGAATTACGTTTTAAATTATCAAAAATATTTATTTTTTGTACGCAAATTCATTATGTCATTAACTGCTGCCTATCATTAATTCACATAATGTAACTCAAAAATATGTTTTAAACAATTTCACATTATACAGGTACATGTAAATATACTTATTATGTTTAATTTCCTTTTAAGTGGGTATTATTAAGAACAAAAATGCTTTTTCCTTCTGAGTATTTTAATTAATTATTTTAATTTTTAACTATTAAATGTATATACCTATAAAATTGCAAGTTCGGTATAAGCACTGATAAATAAATAAATGGAAACGTTTTAATACAAAGGATTAATTATTTATAAATTATAGGTATAATAGCGTTAGCAGTTTTAGATTTTGAATTATATTAAAAATGACATGTTTCATTTCTGATTTTACTTTTAACAACAAAATATCTGAAACCAATAATAATTTCAGTTTTTTCTGTTTGACAATTTATGTCAAGAATAAATTATAGAATTAGAATATTTTGTAAACAGTTACGGGTGATATAATTTTAATGTGATGCTACGATGTAATATTTTCGATGGTTTTAAACTGTCAGGGACTTCTTTAATACTTTCACTTTAATAGCAATTGTTTTTCATCGACTATATTCGATCATAGGTATATTTTAAATTCTTTTGTAAATCATGTAGTTTATCGTTATACACACGTCATTAATTAATCAATTAGAAACGCGAGATGGAAAGAGGCACACGCCAAGGACGTTAAAGTGACTGTCATATGAACTCTCACACGTTCACAATGTTCACGTAGAAATCAACATAATTTTATATCGATAGCAATACTTTTTCTAAGTTCTAAAAGACATCCATCAGCGGTAATAAGTCTAATCAATATGTCTATCGATATTTTGATCCGGTCCATTATATTATTTAGACTGATTTTCTAAATTAAATAGCCGAAAATGAATTGGAAGGTTATATTTTTTGTGATGTATCTAGTTCTTAAATGCAAATTTAAAAAAATTGCATCAATACCTACATTATATTACAGTATTCAATTGAGCTATTGCTATTGAGCAACAAATATTTTCTATATTGGTTGTTGCCTGTTATTCTAAAGAAAACCTTAATCAGAATTGTTTCAATGACTCCAATAAGAATATTAATTAGGTAGGTATGTGTGGAATATTTCATCCTCTATAGTATCTTGATCATATTATAGATTTGAGAACATAAATTTCATATTGCGATAGCGTCGGACAATTACTATTCACACAGGGCGTGCCAAGTTTAATTAAATCAATAATAATTTCGACGTCCGTATATGACAGGGGCGTGCCTAGTGCATTCAATTGTTGGTGAAATGATGTTCTACAAATATTTGGAGAGCGTAATACGAATGTAGAATTTTTACTAGTTTTTAGGCTTGAGCCAGGTCCTTGATAATGCCTTGACATGAAACAAAAACGATTGATGAATCGAAAACATCAAAATTTTTTTTTATACATTTGATTTGACCAAATATTTATTTAATTATACTTTCCATATTTGATCCGGTCGTAATTTTAAACTTTTAAGACATTTATTTACTGTCATAATTTGTACTACTTAGTACTTTAATCTTTACATGAATATTGATATACAATTATTAATTAATTTTTCAGAGGTAGAATTGAAAAATCCGTCGGGACATGGCAACACGTAAATCCATTATAGTGTTTGTAGCACTACTGTCTTACGTGTGCAATACGAACGCCATTTTATCTGAACAACTTGACTGTCCAGAAGATTGTGATTGTCATTTTTTCAGAATCAATTGGGTAACAGATTGTTCGGAAAGCAATTTGACGTCGATGCCATATGATGGACTCGACAGCAATGTATATATACTTAATATGAATGGAAATCTCCTAAAAGAAATAGAACCATTCCCGGCCGACATCAAACTTAGAACATTACAGTTGTCTGAGAATTTTTTAACAAAAATCCAAAAAACAACATTTGCCGGACTTCATTATCTGCTGGATATAGACTTATCATCTAACTTGATAAATTATGTTGATCCTGAAGCATTTATGTAAGTAGAAGATATGGTTATTGGTATTATATTTATTTAAAACGTTTCTACAAAGGATTTCAACTTATATGTACAAGGTCTTATCATAGCTTTTAACTTCAATCGTATCATTTAAATTAAACAAATTGAGTCACAGTTTCCATTTCGGCCTATTCAAGGTCAATTCTATTGTTAAGAGTGACGTATATAAAACATTTAAATAGCTACAGAAAAAGAACAATTATTAAATTTAAATTATTTTATCTAATCTTATTGTATAATATATATATATATATATATATATATATATATATATATATATATATATAAAATTAACTTGCCGTTATTTAAAATATATCTTTATATACCTTTTGCTTATAGTATAGACACATATGATATACAGAAGAAAAATAAAGTAGCTAAAACTTACCTTCCCATTTTCATTTTATTTTTTTTTTAATCAGTGCCATTAGGTATTATTTATACGATAGAAATCTTAAGTTAAATAAGGAATTAAACTATATTTTTCTTTATATAATTTTTATGCAACAACTTTTATCAAGTCTTACAATGTACCTACATTAAAGATGGAAAAGTAATGAACAATAGTGAAATTTGTTATATTTTTTCTGATGTATTTCCTCATTTTACAACACTTTTAAAATATATTAAAGTACTTTTACAAATAATTGTTACACTCCCAATTACTTTTTCAAAGTAAAATATCATATATTCGCTTGAATATATTTATACCTCATATACTAACTATAAGTCAAAAACCTGAAATTATAATTTATTAGTTTTTCTTTATTTCAGAAAAAATATAAAATCTACCTCTTTAAAGAGTCATCTAAAATCATAATTGTATAAGATACTTACTCTAATAGATTTGTTCGATAGATTTACGACACGAATGAGTTAACAGAATAAATAAAGTTTAAATTATTTTAAAAAATCATAGTAAAATCGATACATTTTTGGCTTTACTCAGAATATAATTTTTATATCTACTTTTTTATTAAATTTATGACTTGTTAGTTTTCTTAATCTTCTTTTAAACTAATCTTTTATGCACTATAAAAATATTGGTTTGTTTATATTTAAATAATATTTTTCACAAAATGAAAAATTAAGGTCATACATGAACACCTTTTTAAAAGAAATAAGTTGATATTTGGAGTTTAAGAATTGTATAAATCTTAAAAACCAAACAAGGAATTAAACTGTTGTGTACTTACATATTATGTTTACATACTTAAATACTCAAAATTTAAAACTAATTAAACTTTTGTTGCATTTGTTACAGAGATAGTGCTGGATTAATTACGTTGGAATTACAAGGAAATCCACTGGAACAAGTTGAAGGGCCATTCTTGTATTCCAAGTCGTTGCTGTACCTTTACCTGGGAAATTGTCATTTAACAAAACTATCACCTCAGTTTTTCTCCAATATCAGTGGTGTAGGCAAACTCGATCTCTCTGGAAACCCTCTTCATATTATTGAACCAGGCATATTTGATCCTCTTACCAGTTTGAAACATTTAATTCTGAATAATTGCAATTTGACGCACATATCTAGTGTAGCATTCAGTAGTCTTGGACACCTTACAGTTTTGGAATTAGCTGGAAATAGTCTCAAAAGTCATGTTGACTGGTCTCTAATATTGGGTAATTTAGGAAGATTAGAACACCTTGAATTAAGACAATCAGGCGTCTCAAATTTACCAGAAAACGTATTTTTCAATAATACTTGGCTAAGAGGTTTAGTATTAGCCGAAAACGAATTATCTGATCTCGATGTGGCTACTACTTTGGGTCACAATTTAGTTCATTTAGATTTTCTTGACCTCAGCTATTGCCATTTAAAAGGACCTTTATCTGAAGATGCATTCGCTAATGCAACAAAATTACGAACACTTATATTATCTGGAAATCATTTATCTGCTGCAGACTTAGCAGTAGCACTTTCACCTTTATCAAAACTTGTGAAGTTATCATTAAGAGATTGCGGATTGACAAGATTGCCCGCGAATACTTTCCATAAATTCACTAGCTTACAAGAGTTGGATATTTCTAGGAATCCGCTGAACAATGCCTTTACGGCACTTTTATCTCCCTTGGAATCGTTAGAACATTTAGATATGGGTTACAGTAATTTACAAAGAATATCAAGAACAACTTTCTTAAAAATGTCTGCTTTGAAAACGCTAATTTTGTCTGGAAATAAACTTAAAAGTCTTGAATCAGGTTTATTCCAAAATCTGACGCGTTTAGAAGTATTGGAATTGAATAACTGTGGACTTAGCCGTCTTAATGATACAGTGTTCTATGATAACTTTACTTACCCAGATTTGGAAGAGTTAAGGCTTTCAGGAAATCCTCTTCAAGTTCCAGAAGAAGGACCAATATTGCCACCTCAATTATCCGGCTTAAAGAATTTGGACTTGAGTAAATGTAATTTGAGTTATTTACCCGATGATGCTTTCATAACAACTCCCAATATTAGTCAATTGTTGTTGAACGACAATAAGTTAAAGAATGATGAAGAAGGCTCCATCAAGTTTTTAGAATCTCTTATTGGATTGGAACAATTGGACTTGAGTTTCAACAATCTAACATCGATTAAACCTGATAAATTTAGTTATAATCATCAACTAATGTCATTAAAACTTGTTGGCAACCCTTGGAAATGCGATTGCTATGTTGTGGATATGTGGGAATGGGCTGCATCATCTAAAGGAAATATAGGAGTGTTGGTCGGTTCAACAAAGTCAATAGCTTCTAACCTTAACAACAAGAAAACTAAAGGTTTAGTGTGCAATTTCGATCCAAAAAGCACTCCTATTAAAGAAGCAAAATTGAGAAGACCAGGAAGAGAACTTACCACCGTCGTACAACGTACGTGGGCCAGATATGTGCGTGAGGCAAATTGCCCTCACAGTCCTGTAGCTGCAAGACCAGCTAGAATTGTTACTAGGGAAGTTCATGGATATGAACCAATGATATCAGAAATTAAGAACGAAACACAAATTAAATGGTTACCTTTTGTAAGCTTCTTTGCCGTTTTATTATTAGTTTCAATAGTTATGATGAGTATTTTAATGAAGCGCAAAGAAAAAACAATAAAAAAGGATAAAGATATATCGTGCGATTATTCTCAAGAAACTGATGATGTAGTGCAATTTAAAGATACTAAAAATGTATCTCGCAGAACAATAAAATGACAAACTCATAGAAAGAACTAGTTTCTTATTTTAAGATTCAAATTTTAAACGAGTATTTTTTTTTATCATTATTTTCTTTTATTTTTTTAGTACCCAAGCACGTTTTACTGTACCAAAAAAAAAAAATGAATAAGTTCTCATAATACTTCGAATTTCGGAACTTTATCATTTTATGTATTATTATTTATTATCTAATATTTTTTATTTTTGTGATTCAGTTTTTATTTTCCTAGCAGAAAAGTTCCTAATGATAATAGGTTGTCAATGGTGTTGGATACAGTCAATCAAAAGCAATGTTTCTCACTTTTATATCTTCATTTCTAATGCAAGGTCATTCAGTGCAGGGTAATAATAAACTTGCACATTTTTAAATGAACAATAGACAACTAGTCGAGTTTCACTGTTTATTTTATTTTAATTATTATTGGGATTGACTGATCAAATGTGTATTGTATAATATTCTAGTTGATAAGCTTTTAATGTATTATTTATGCACACTCTCTGTAAAGCAACAACCTCAGACCATATAGATTATAATTCTAGCCATCGATTGTATGGCGTATATTATTGTAATCACATTGTAGAAATATTATAAACCTATAATATTTATGAAATATAATAATTATAATATATATTACCATTTTACCTTATATAATAGTGCTAAGAATACTTAGATGTACCTAGACAAAATATATATTCATTATTCTTGTTATGATATTTGTATCTATTAAATTAAATGTATATCTTATTAAATTAGTATAATGATTTGTAACTATATTTCATATTAAAATGGTATATAGTATTTTGTCCTATCATTATTCTTCCTGATGATTGTGGTGATAAGTTAAAACTCTATAGACATTTTCTTTAATAGTTATCCATATTATAATAGTGTAGCACAAACATATAATTGACAAATTCTTCATGGTTACAATTTCAAATTATAATTATAGCTATAATTTTGAAGATATTTAATATTATATTTATTAACATAAATATTAATTTGGTATGTTTCTTGTTTTGTATTTATTTAAAAAAAATAAAATATAATATCAAATCAATCAACATTACCTCACAAATTTATTCAATGAAATATATTGTTTTGAATTACTACCAAATTTAACACATTGTTGCAAGTCAAGCAAACAGGAAAATAATATTATCTACTGGATAATTTAATGGTTTTTTTTCTTTTTTTATGAACTATAAAATACTGCAAAAGAATATGAAATAGATTATTACAGAGTAACAGGAAAAAAAAATTTAGATATCAACACAACATTTATTTGTCTACAGAAATATTGATACAACTAAGTATAAGGGCAATAAAACTTTTAAGTATAAAATTATATTTTTATCACTTTTAAAAGCTGTTTTATTTCATCAACAACATTCACATTAAATTTTTTATTTATAAAGTTATTAAAACTTACAGCACACGTTGTTGAAACATTTTCAATTATACCATTTTTCACAGACAAAATAACGGATTGTTCATCGAATTTAATAGTTATGTTAAACTTGGGCGTTCTTCCGTATCGCCATTCCCAGCTTTTCATTTCATCTTTAATAGCATTCAATCCTGATAATGAAGAAAAAACAATTACGGTTTTAATCAATCTTATACACTGTTATTGTTTGGAAATATACATAGGTACACTATTATATTTTATACTATTAAATATGATTGCATAAAAAAATAACAAAACAATTTACCAGGGAATGTATGTTCATCTGGCATTACATAATTAAATCCTCGATTTATTGTAGTATGGTCACCTATTGTTTTCAGGTACTGTAAACCAATAACAGTCATTAATCTGTTGATTGACACTCTATTGTTAATTTGGGTCAAATTCAATACGTCAGCCGGTATGCTGACCGTGGCATTGGTTTCGATATTTTTCTAAAACATTGCATTGTTTAATAGAATATTGAGTTGGATAATGATTTACATTAAGCAATATTCACTTCCTTTTTTTTTCAGCAACTTTGACATCAATTCTCTATTGCAGTTTACCAATAAAGTACAATGGTGGTATGCATTAGGTCTACCCAATTTGGAGGCTGTCCCTGATACCTAGAATACAAAAATTACATTTTGAAATGAGGTTACACAACTGAGGTAAAACAATACATTATTATTCATCAGATGGCACTGATATTTATACCCTTAACTTTGTACTTGTTTTCAACTACAATATCTTCTCGTTTATTAATCTTGGTTACAATATCCCATTCGTTTTTCAATGTTTCTACAATTAGTTCAAGATTTCTTCTCCTGTTGTACACATCCCTGTGTGTAAAAAATGTCATGTTCAGATTCCCATCATCATGGAACACTGTTCCACCCCCACTATTCCTTCTAGCTATCTGCACATCAATTGATGGATCAAAATTTACTTCCAACCAGGGATTTTGATGTCGGCCAATAACAACACAATTAATGTTTACCCATAGTAGCAACATGGGTTTATTAGTGAAGTCGAAATATCGGTAATACCAGTGTTCTAAAGCTAGGTTTTCAAACACATCTGTTGATTTGGATATTTGAACAGTTTTTTCGAAAACTGACGAGTACAATCGTCGAGCGATGTAAATCATGATTGGAATCTAAAAATCAAATTAAATTTATTACACAGTAATTTTAATATCTACGTTTAACCTATAAGCATATCATTTTGCATTTCACTTGATTTTTTTGTCATCTAATACTGATTAGACAACAACAATAGTTAGGATACATTTTTTTCAGTAATACTTGGAAATACAGATTTTAAAGAACCATTTGCTGATCAGATAATACCAAGGTTATTTTAAATTTTATATTGTTGTAATAATATAAGATTTAGTACATTTGTCAAATTAATAGTATTATAATTTTAATTTGATGATTACTAAATGGTTGAACTTTGATTCAGCTTAAGACAAAAAGAAAAATTATTTTTATCACAAAATAAATTAAAATAAAATGTTTAATACTAAAGGTGTTTAAAATTACTGAAAAATTTGATGAGTGAATAATAATTTAAGCCAAATCGCTCATAGTAATAATATTAAGTTTTGAGTGGAATTAGAATTATTTAAAACTGCAAAAAAGAAAAGATTTTTTTAAAGCAAAGGAAACAATTTGGAGTTGCAGAAAAATATGAAAGAAAATACTTTTCTTTAAAAGATTGAGTAAAGTATTAATTATTGGAGAGTATTAATTAGCTGTAACATAAATTAACAAAATACATAATTTGTTATCTCAAATGTCGAATGAAAAAACTAACCAAGCCATATAATTACAATTTATAAATAAAATACAAATTCAAAACAATTATTGAAAATGTACTTTAAGAACACACATGATCGATTTTTTTGGGCAACTCTGATATAGGTACATATAAAAATAATTTTTCATTGTTTATAATGTATTTTACTAATTTAATAAACACTAAAAATTGGTATTTATTAAAAACACAACATGATAACAGTTAAAATTTAAAGGACAGAACTGTATACATTTTAAGCTGATTAGTTAGATAACCTAATTAAATAATGATTATTGTTTGAAAATTTAATTATTTTTAAACTGCATAATACTAGAGAATTAAGTCATGAGCCAATAATGTAAACAACACAATAATTGTATTATTCAGTTATTTAACTAATTCTTAAATTTTTTTTACAATAATTACAATTGTATGCACGTAACAGTTTATCAGCACCATTAACATAATAACTTAATCGTTTTAATAATTTGTTTTTTTATAAACATAACTGTTGTCAGTAGCAAATCTTTGTTATTACTGAACACTTGGTACGCAAAGATAAATTACACACATCGAAGCACGAGGAAAAAAAAGTACATAATTTATGTAAACAAATTCAACTGTTAGTAGCATAATAACAAAGAACATGAAAAACGATTAAATTAAATGAGTCTTGTTGCAGTAGCCCACAAATGTTATCATATATACATCTAAGTAATACAAATGGTTCTGTTAAGCAACGATTTCAAAGCAACGTACCCCGAAAACAAATATATCTTCTTGACAAGCTGAATGATCCTATCCGAAATCTCACGTATCACGCGTTTAAGAACAATATTATTTTCGAACAGTCAATACGTGTTGACGAACTGAACATGGTCTAGCGAGTGTCAATGGATCGCGCACTAGTGCCGGGGAATTCGACAACAGTGTCGATCTCGGGCTCTAAAATGAACGTAAGCTCGCAGAACAGATTTTGAACTCTCTGCAGTATTACATTAAAACCGAGTGATGTTAATTGTTACAGAACACGTTAAACCAAAGCGGAGAATTGAACGAAATCGAGATTTTCAAAAACATGATATCCTATCGTTTGACATGGGCCGCGTGATAACGTTTAAGCGATAACACTGTGGACAAGACGAACAGTTTCTGTGCCATTCGTATCGGGCGAATTCGAACCACTGATTAAACAAGAACTCATGTTTAACATTTTAATTCATCGCTCCGGACGACCAACAACGACGGGCGTTCAACCCGTAGATCTATAGAGGCATGATAAAATATTATTTTATCATGTATAGAGGTTCGCTGTATATCTTAGGAACTATAGTAAACCTCTCGATAACAATAATCTCCCTTCCTTCCCAAAAACAATAACCTAACACATGACAACCGCGGTGATACCGGCATGGGCAATCAATGTCGTCTTGTGATATCAGACATCGGTATTTCTGAAATGTAAAATTAATGATTTGTTATATTATTTGTTCATTTATTTTCAATTTCAATCGTTTTAAAACCGACACGGGAGGTTTTCAAACAATTTTAACGTATTAAAAATATGTTATATATGACATCGGTTTGAACGTTGCGAAACATTGTAGTGTGGAAGTCTGCTTTAAGTTTTATGCTCAGAGGTAAGCATTCCAAGTAGTTTTCGTTTTCCGTTTCACAACGGGATTCGTTTAATAGACAAGATTACAATCGTTCACAATGGGAAACAGTCATTATCAATATTTATGTGCATATTTTTACAACACTAATTTTTTTTTTTCAATCTCTTCTCCGTGCAGCCATGTGGGCCGTTCGAATTCCTAAACAAAATGCTCCGTATTATGCTCTCGGGAGATCGGTCACTACCGCTTGCGTTTATGAGCAAGAAAACCGTGCCGAGTATCCACCTATTTTGGACTTGGCGCCTGAGTCAACTGAGATGCGTAATGAAATTTATGCACACGAAAAAATACGTAACCTTAGTACAATTGAAGAAAAAACTATTGGTATCAATATGCCCAGGTTCAGTTCATTCGCTTTATATTACAACTGTATTGATCTGCAGAGAGACATTAATTCATTGTGTATTTAGATATTATGGTTGGCAATCATTTGTAGTTAAAGACAAAGTACTGCCTTATGACTTCTTGCCTTTTGCACAAACCATAACCAAAACCAAAATTTATGAAGTAGACACTCTTCCTAATCAACTTTCGAATGATGATTGCCAACAATTTATTGAACGCATTAAACCACAGCTTGAAGATAGCCTTGTATTTGAATTTAATAGAAACATGTAAGTTACAAGAAATCGTTGTTAAATTAGTAAATATATGATTATATATATATATATATATATGTGTGTGTGTGTGTGTAAAGATAACATTTTGAATAATTTATTAGGAGTAGAGGAAAAGAAATAATATCCGATAAAAATTATGAAGAATCTGAGAAAAAAAATGAATTAGCTAAAAATGTAGCTGAACAAGTGAATCGTATATTTTTAGCCAATCTTGCAGCAGATTATCCACATTTATTTGAAGCTCAGGTATGTGTACATAAGTATCAAATTAAATAACCTCTAATGATTGGATTCCAATTTCAGATTGACTATGAACCTCGGATTGAAGGATTTTGGAATGTACATGGTTTTGCAGCTACTAAAGAAGACAAAGAAATGAGAAAGAAAAAAAATGTTTCTCAAGAAAAATTAGAAGATCCTGTTGATAGATGGATACATTATTTTGGTCGACCTATAATTCAAGTGCGGCATAGTTTACCGTTATCCCCAGTTCCACAAGACAAATGGTTACCAAGTACTGCTCCACCATCTCCTGATTCTAATGTTGTAAAGACTGTGTTCAAAGAGTTTCATATACCCAATTATGACTATGATCCTCAAATTTATCTTAAATTACCTTGTGATAGAAAACATGGTGTCTCTATACCTGGTTAGTAAAGTATTTATTGTATTGGGCAAAAGAAATGTTGACAAATTATAAAAATTAAATGTATTAAAGGTTTTTGGCCTAACGATCCACAAAAGTTTGGTTTATTGTCTATACTTACAAATGAATATTTAGAACATCGACCACCTAATTTTGGTGAATCTGAGCATCAAGAAGCAGTACATGCTCAAGCAATACTAGCATCGTTTGCATGGCTACTAGGCCAAGCAACTTATCAAGGTATTATAACATTTTTTTGTTTTATTTGTTTTATTATAATTTCCTTTGATACCTAAATTATGAATAATTTAAAATTTAAAAATAGCTCAATTGATGTCGAGTAGAATATCCATTGCTATAAATTTAAAACCCCAAGTAATCACTTTCAAAGGGTTGTTATATTCTTTTCGCACAGTTCAAAAATTGTACGTTCTTAATTTATTCTTTTAGGTTTTACAACTTGCAATGAAATCACATACCCCTTTGTCAATCAATCAATTATTACAAATGGTAAAACATTTTCATTTTACTTGTATCAGTTAAATACTATAAGATTCTTTAAAAGCAATGATGAAAATATGAGTCCAATAGCTCCCAATAATATTTGTTGGGGAACGAAATCTAATGAATTGTTCCATGAAGTCACAGACAACTGCATTGTTGGTATGTAATCAATTCTTTATAGTAAAGAAATTAATAATTATAAAATATATTTCTTGCAGGTTGGAATGATGATGTGTTAAAAAATCTATTAAGCTGTTACATGAATGTGCCAAAAGCACGAGATCACAAAATGTGTCCATATTTAGGTAAAGAACAAGTAGTAGCCAACATAGAAGATGTTAAAAGAAGGTAAATCAATTTTTAATGTTTTGTGTTGTTTTTATAGTAAAACAATATATATTATACTTTTTTATTGATATGCTAATGAAAATAAAGTGCATTTTTGTGCTTTTTGTATAAACTATTTTTTTTTTCTCATAGGGTGTGGTTACACAACAGACATCGGGTCTTAACATCTCATCGACCTAGACATCGTCTTGTGCCTGAAATCTATGATTGGGAACGTATTTATAAGATTGAATTTGATACCAGAGGTATGGAAGCTAGGAGACGTTTCTTCGAACTTGATCAAGATCCATTGAACGAGAGAAGACTCGATGACCATTATGGACCATACATACCTCGCAAGTATAGAGATTTTGGCCGAAGAATAAGATCAAAACGATTTGAAGACATGTATTACCCTAATGTTTAGTATGAAGTTTTTTTATTATTAAAATTTACTTGTAAGATTTTTGTTAGATAATATAAAATATAATATTTAGAAAAATAATTGGTATGGCTTACATTTAATACAGTGAATCATTTTTTTTCTTTCTTTAAAGTACTTATAAAATATGTATAATATCATTGATTATAAATACTATATTGTATTTATAATCAATAATATCTATGGTAGGGTTGCCAGATTTCAAAATTCAAAATAGGGGATAAATAAATATCTTAAAAGTTTTAGAGAAAAGTTATATTGGGTGACGTTTAAGACTCGATTTTTGATATTTCATTCTCAAAATCGATAAAATCGTTTTGCGTTTTCTGTTTTCACTTTTTTACTTGTGAATAATTGGTATAAAAAATTTAAATATCAAAAATCGAGTCTTATACGTCATCCAATATAACTCTCCTTTACAACTTTTAATCAAGGTATTTTGGTCTAAAACCATTCAGTAAGCCGTAGGAACAAAATTGTAATATTTTTGTATGGTATTTTCGCTGGTTTAGCGTCCTTTAATCCAAATTTAAACGAAATTGTAAAATCGGGTGGTAATAACAAACCTACTAATAAATAGCAATTACTAGTAAAAAATTCAACTGAACGCACAGTGGTATTTTCATCGTGGTTTGAAAGTTTTGTAAGTCCGGGTCCACACTAAAGCAACATACAGCAACCAGAGCCGGTTCAAGGGGTAGACGACATAGGCGCACGTCTGGGGTGGCATTTAAAAATTTTATATTATAGATAATTTTTAAACTATTGTGTGTAGTAAAATAAGAATAAATAAATATTTGTGCTATAATATTAATAAAAAAAATTATGTCGTATAGAAATTTTAGTACGAGTAAGATAATGCTAGGTGTCCACTTGAGATTAAATCTCGAGAGAAAGTCTCGGGGTGTTGTCCATTTGAGATCACCTACGGTCTTGTGATATAGGTTTGAGACTGGAAAACGACATTAGTATCGAGACCAAGACAAATTCGTGTCGACTATTGTCTATTCAGAAAAACAGTGCACAGTCACTTGGACGGAAACTAGTTTTTACTGTGCATGTGTCTTTTCCACCAAGAACGTTAGTAGTATGGCGACGCGTTACGACGCTGTTATACATGGTGAATTGTATTACCACTCATTTCGTAACGCCATGCTATAGTTCTATTTTGAAAAACTAGGTTTTTTTTAATAATTATCTGTATACAAGGCGGCAGTCACTGACTTAGATAAACAACGATGGTGGTCGAACAATGGCAACGAATCGTAGAGCGCAAGCGCGCCCGCAGGATAAAATCCCACCCGGGGCAAGATTAAAATTCTAAGGGTCACAAAGTGTATCTAAAAATATATGAGAACAAAATCAAATACCATAGAAATCGGTACTCGGGAGAATTTATAGTCTTAAGCGGTATGCAGTCATGTGTAAACATTGTAAACAAATAAATACGTTTAAGATTATACATTTTAGAATACCTAAAAATATAATAAATTTTACTAAACTTCATAAATGGATCTCATTAAAATTATGTTACAATATGCGTGGTATTAAATTAACAATAGTTTTAAAACAAAAATTTCCAGTAGGGGCAATGGCCCCTTTGGCCCCCCCTGCGGGCACCCATGATAGAGCGTCTAGATGTCGACGGGTTTCTGACCGTTATCGACTTCTCGGTAGACATGCGTGAGTTTGGACACTCAATCTGAACAAATTGTAGAATCTTGACTACAGTCCGGCTCACGAAAAGTGAACGCTGACATCAACGATCCCCGTGGCCGTTTTTAATCATTGATTATCAAAGCCGTTCGTCGCTATTTTTCAAATTCTTGATACCACTACACAACATATACGTTACAATTAATAATATTAAAAATATTTATGAATGTAATGATTGAGAAAAATTGCATAAACTATTTTAAATACAGACATTAAAATTTTTATTTCCAAAACTAATCATGATTTAATCATAAAAAATATATTAAAAAACACAAATAAAAAATAATTTAAATTAAAGTAGGTATATACATACTATATCGTCTTCATCACTACTGCTGTCACCTGGTCGTATTGTGAGAATAATAGGCTCTAAAATTAATTCTCTATGTTGTTCTTCGTACAACATCGCTATCAAAATCGTCCAGTTCTGTGGCATACTTTTTACGTTTATACGTTTTTGGCGGTGATTTAAATGACGGTCCAGGTTGTGATGAATCCGAGATATCGTCGGTAGTTGATCCTTCTGCACACACTCGTCTTACTGTCATAAGAGATACACCACACGCGTCGGCAGTAATTTTTTGAGTTTGTTTAAAATGTTTATTTAAGGCCACGTCATCTGAAGTAGCCAATTTTTTTAAATAATTGTACACATTAAAAATAACTTTTTTGGTTTGACTACGAGTGTCATTATTTTTAAAAGGCATTTAAACGTTAAATAATTAAAAAATAATATTATTTAAAGAAACTATGTATATTTATTAATTTGAACACCAAAAGCAGACCAAATATTTTAACACTGTTAACTAAATAAATGTCAAACTATATTGAGCTCACGAAAAATGACAATTGTAATTACAGTCCGGCTCACGAAAAGTGAACGTTCAAGGTCGATGGGTGGGGTCTAAATATTGTCAGATCCAGGGGTTCTCCGTTTTGTAGTACGTACCAGGCGTACTGATGTGCCGTGGGTAAATATTTTGGGTATTTACCCACTATAATATTTACCTACCAAAAATTTGGGTAAATATTTTTTTTTTACTGTCAAAAATAATTATTTTTATTAAATAAATTTCATATTAAAATTTGAAGCGTTTTGGTTAGTTTTTAAATTCTTAGAGTTATTTGTTTCCCCATTAAAAATGAATAAAATGAACAAAAACTTCATAAATATAATATATGTACTCTAATCATCAGTCTTGGAAAAACATGATAATGTCAGGAAACAATCATAAAAAAGTATTATGATACCAATGGATTGGTTTTAGCATTACAAATAAATTTATCCAATTTATCGGGTAAATACCGGGTATTTACTTGAAATTATATTTACCGGGTATTTGCCCATCACTAATCAGACGTGTTTAATATTATTGTAATTTATATGTTGTAGAGTGGTATCAACAATTTAAAATATCGTGGCAAACGGGTTTGATGATCAATTGTTCAAAACGGCCACGGGGATCGCTGATGTCAGCGCTCACTTTTCGTGAGCTGGACTATAGTCTTGTGTGTTAGAGATGGAAAGTTTAGTTCATTTCTGTGAATAGTTCATAAGTTCACAGTTCATTCAAGTGAATAGTTCAAATGAACTATTCTTAAGTTCACGTAGTTCATTAATTTTATTGATCATACTAATATTGTTTGGTTATGAACTATTCGTTTTATCACTATTAGTCAGAGCCGTACCGAGCCATTTTTTATCCCGAGGCAGAACTTTAGTAATGCGCCCCCTTGATGGGGGGAGGGGGTGACACACTCACAGTTTTTAATATTTTTCAATAAAATAATAAGATTAGGAAAATCAGTAAATTTTTAATTAGGTTTCGAGCTAAACAAGAAATTATATTTTTAGCCACAAGTTTATAATTCTCAACCTTATATTATAGGAAACAAATCAATTCAAATTTTACAAATTTATTTATAAGGTATTTCAAAATAATAATTAATAATAATAAAAATAAAATAATCATTATTTATAACGATATTTTCCTTGCTTTTGTGTCGGCAAATTTGTCAATAACTTCTTCGTAATCCAATTTACAAGCGATTTCTGTTTCTATTGAAATGATGGCCATGCTTGATAATCTCTCTTGAGCCATTGTAGATCTTAAGTACGTTTTTATCAATTTAAGTTTGCTGAAACTCCTTTCACATGAAGCTGTTGTAACGGGCATTGAGAGAAAAATCCTTATAGCAATTTCAATATTTGGATACGATTCTTTAAGCTTATAATCGTGAATTATTTGTAATAAATCCAAAAACGTAACTGATTCAATACTTGACAAAATTGATAAAACTGCATGTTTAAAATCTTTAATTTCTTCAACTATTTCCGCAGTATTTATATCTTCATTATATTTTAATCCTAGATCAGCAGCTGCTTTTTGCAAATCGTGTGAATTCATATTGGTTAATGAATGACCGGAAAGAAATTCAAAATCGTTTGAAATTTCCATAATTTTTTCATACCGCCGTGTCATCTGAGTAAGAAGAATATCTATTGAGTCTATAATAGTAATTCGAAAGTTTTGTTCTGTAGAAATATTTATTACGTTATCATCTGTTTCATAAAGTTCTAATCTTTTTCTTTTTTTTGTTCTTGATTCCTTTAAAGTTGTCGATATTTGTAACTCTTCTGCAACTTTTGTAGCATTTGTAAAATTGTCTTCCATGGTTGTGTCACGAATTTCCTGCAAAGCATTTTTAAGCCCGAGTAGCAAATTGGAAGCTTTTTCCAACGATAAGCTTTTGTTTTGTAAAGCTTGATTAACACGATCTATACTACTTAAAATTTGATTCCAAATATTAAGTAAGCAAAGAAAGTCAAAATTGATCAATTGAAGTAAATTTTTAGCTGTTGATTTTGTTTCCAAATTTAATTTTGAGTCAGAAATATTTTGTAATACCTTAAATACTTCTTTTATTTGGGAGTTCATGGCCTTAACAGCTTGTGCTTTTGAAGCCCATCTGGTATCTGAATGACCTTTCAATGAAATTTTTAATGTATCCATTAAAATTTTCCATCGAGTAGTTGATTTGACAAAAAACGTATATATTTTCTGAATCACATCGAAAAAAAATTGTACCTTAACATTAGCTGATGCTGCATGTACGCCACTTAAGTTAAGGCAGTGAGCAGCGCATGGAATGAATGTGGCTAAATTGTTTTTATTTAATATGACTGCCTGAACGCCATGGTATTTTCCTGACATGTTAGCTCCATTGTCATAACCCTGTCCCCGTACATTTTGTACATCAAGTTCATCAGCTTTTAATTTTGTTAATATTTCCATAGCCAACCCGTCCCCACCCAGTTTTTTCCTCTGTGTTTATGAAATCTATAA